TTTGTGAGAGCTCGCCTTGAAGCGAGTGAGTGAGTAAAGATCTGCGGAGCAGCTCTTTTATATCTCGTCGATCGAAGCTTGATCGCGAGAAAGCTCTTCACCGCCTGTGCCACCTGGCGGTGGGTCCGCAAGCTTATAACTGGTAGAAGGCCTGCGGCGCGTAGCGGCGCCGCGGCGTATTATGCCGCTTCAGTAAGCTGTGTGGCGGTGAGCCGCCACACTATATATAAAAAAAATAAAATAAAATAAGTGATTCAATTTTTTACTTGAATTTAATATATTACACATTTATTACACTTTGCTATTACATATACATACATATAGTGAAGAAAAACACATATGAAACACTCAATGTTTAGCTTCATTATGCTTTTAAATAAATCAATTGATATTCTATATAATATGACATTATTATGACATTATCATGTTATAAATATGCAATTCTATATTTTTGTTATGAGAAACGATATAATACTAAAGAAATATAAAGTTGTATGAATTGATCTTAAATGTATTCGTGCATCACGAAGAGTATCACAGTCGAATATAGCTATGCTAATAATTATTGTTATTTCTACACAGATTTAAAGCATTTCTTCTCATTTATAGAAATTACTATCTTATAAACAAAACATGTAATAAGTTATAAATAAATTATTATAGAATAAAAAAGTAAAACACAATATCTCTCTCTTCTGAAATACTATGTACCTAATTATACATAATTAACTCTAAAACATAATTTAAAGACTCAAGTTGGTGATCATAATATGAAAAAAATTAAAAAGTTGTACTATAAATATCCATGCAATTTGCAAACGCAAATTCGATTGATTGGTGTGGAATACGCGTCGATATGTAAAGTATCGTTCTTTATAAGCCAGATAATTGTCTTTGCAACGTAATCCAATCTACGATTTTCTGCTGAATCTGCCGCTTCTCAAGTAAAGCCGTAGAAGCTTTCTGAAATTTCTCTTCATTTCTACGTATATACATTCTTGCATCTTGCTCCATTAGGCTGATTTTCTCAGGTCGAATCTCCACCATCGATAACATTTCTGTTAAGTATGGATTGAATCTAAAGTAGATATGGTCAGGTAGCAGATCATTGAGCATTGTATGTACAGCTAAAAAAAGAGATTTACAAATCATTTAAAAATGGAATTGTTTATTCTAGTTGCATATTTTTTCTTAATTTTGTTTAAAACAATTTGTGCAATATGATCAATTGTATTTCTTTCATTGGTATTACCTTCTGTATCGGTAGCGCTGTCTAAAATTTTATAGAATTTTTCTTTCCAACTTGAAATTTCCACTTCCAAAGATTTATCGTCACAAATGTGATGTGGAATTCGACCGGTTCCGAATGATACGACGCATTGAATTGGATTGTTTGGCCACAATTGTCTAGCTTCATGAATTGCTACAGCACATGGATTATTTACCAGAATGCCTAAAACAGCATGGCAATCATTATTATAATGTTCCGAAAATTTTCATTGAATTTATTTTGATTGCGTGTAACTTACCGCCATCTTGATGAAGATATTCACCGTACTTGAATTCCTCAAAATAACTTGGTGCAGCAGCTGATGCTCTCACGGCTTCCCATAGTTTATACTTATGAGATCCCATATACTGACTCTCCACTCTATGTGGTAATGTGTAATTTCTAAACACATAAGGCATAACGCGCTCATGATTCACTATAGCGGATATTGCTGAAAACTAAAAATGCAAGCACGGTTAAACATCTTTTATATTTAAATTACCTACCTGTGGCTTATACATTATACATTTCAGTGTTCGAGTTTTCCTCGACGATATATTAAAATCTACAAACCTTCGGTGCATTTGGATCCCGCGTGGTTTTGATAAGAATTTTGTCGCCTAGATGCTCAGCTAATAATTGTTCCCACAGCGCTGTGTCGTAATATGCGTGACTCCATACTAGACTGCTCGTACCTTTTATAGCACTTTGTGTAAATACTCTGGTACTTAGTTCCTTGTATAATCCTGAAACTTCATCCAATGATTTTCTCTTGCCGCCTGTAATAACAAATAAACGATGAAATTCATCATAAATTCAGAAACATCACAAGACATTCCTTGTTGATAAACTACATGTACATGCTATAAAGCCACCTAAAAATTTACCTTCCAAAGCATCCTTTGGTAGTACTGTAAGTAGATTATATGAATTAGCACACACACATACACACGGTACAAATAAAAAAAGTATTATATTACTTTATAATAATTAATAGTAATTAATGAATTAATTAAATGCATTGAACAAAAATTTCTAAGCAATTACCTAACACAGCAGCAAGGATGGCACCTGTGCTTACACCGCATATGTAATCAAACATCTCATGTGTCTTCTTCCCTGTAAGTTCTTCCAATTTCTTCAACATCTCTACGACCAATACTCCGCGAATACCTCCGCCATCAATCGACAGAATTCTGATGCCACGACCGGGTAAAGGATCGATGTAACCCATTACAGCCAAAGCTTCTCTAATAGATGCTGTAAATGTGATTTTTAAATCGTAAATAATTACAGCACAGTAGTAGGGTGTTATTTAAATTTATATTTTCTTTTCATGTACCATTAATTTGTTCATCCTTTGTTTTTTTACGAGCCTGCAGTAAAACTTTAATCGCTCCCTCTTTGATCGCATAATGTCTAGCCTCTGGATACTGCTCAATATGCAATAATAAATCTTCGATCCTCCGCCACTTTGAAGCACTTGACTCAGCTGATGCAATACTGTTCAAAACATGACGCGTACGAGATGCGATGCTGTGCTTTGGAATATTACTACGAATATTCACCTTCCATTGTGGTATACTGGTGCTTTGCACAGTTTTAGGAGACAACTTCAGAAACAATGCAGAAAGAATTTGTTGCATGGTAAAGCCCTCACTTGATTCTATTTTACTATCGGGTATACTTTGTTCTTGTGTTTGCTATACATAAAAATTAATTTCTTATATAAAACATAAAAATACTGTGATATTATTTAGCTTAATATTTATAAATTACCTGTTGTATTTTTGGTTGCATAGTTGTAGAATTATTTACGAGTGATTCTGTTTGTTCAGATATTAATGTTACCTTTAGATTTTCTGTATCATTTTTACTTTTATCCTTCGTATCTGAGTTCTTGCTTACATCAGGAGTTTTAATAGATTCAGATGATGATAATTTTCGTATTGTTTCAAGTTGCGAATAGGTTAATTTTTGCAGAGTATCCAACCAATCCTTGGAGAAATGAATATGTTGATTCTTATCATGACTAGTCTTATTCAGGTAATCTTTTAATTGCGACAAAAGCTTCCATTGATTTTGCATTGACATTGTGATGTTCTTTATATCATTTATAGAACGTAAGAGTTTATCCGCAATATTTGTTACATTTCCACTGGCATCCTTACCCGCTGTGCTGTCTGTAAATTGTCTGCAATTGATAAACATTTATCTTTCACATTTATTAAATATATTAATCGCAATATATTACTAATATATCACTTGAATATGATAAATATATTATACATTTCTATATAAGTAATTTAGAAGTAGTTCTAACAACAGAAGTCAAAATCGAAAATAACCTTTATTCAAGTACATTCGGATAATATGCAATTTATCTCCCGCTTCTATTTTTTGCCATCATGATGATACTTACAAACAATCTTTGTTATAATGAACTCAAGTGTTAGATGATTCATATTCTGAATGTCATGGCAAAGTAAAACAAAATAATCGTCACTGCTTAGCATCCCATTACGTTTTCCGTATCTGTCAGTTGAAGTCAGCTGAGCTATCGAACGATGTCTGTTCGTTACACTAACCTAACCTGATCTTCAATCGCGCATTTGTATGATTTCGCAAAGGATTACTACTGCTGATTCAATCGCTCTATTAATAGTTGGATAACATCGTTGAAGATCATTAGAGGCATAATGATAAGTAATAATGATAAGTAATATGATAAAATCAACAACGTATATTAGTAATATTTACTTCGACAGCAATAACATTTCTATGATGCTTCATTAAGCACAATTGCGTAATTGCAGTTGACAATTACGCCATGATACACGCGACAAATAGTTTAGTGTTTACCGCAGCGTGTGCAATTGAAACGATTTGAATTCTTCTGGGAACAATTAAGTTCAATTGAACCTCACTTCATGAACTGATTTATTTAATAGAAGAGGAGTCTAATATGTATAATACTTTAAAATTCGCTATTTTAACTTGCTGATTAACTTTCGAGCAATTTAAGGTTAATTATTTTTGAAGTAAAATGTTTATGTTAATTAAAGTATTTATTTCTAACAAATATATAAACAAAAGTATGTTTAATCACACTCACCTAGTTAGCAAAATGCACTTTCGACAATGCGTCGCGTGTCTGTTAAAGGCCATTGTATTAAAAATCACAAAATATCCCTTATATCAATCTATATTTCTTTAAGAAATATCCAAATTAAATCACAAAGCACAAAAAATTATTTAAATGATTATTATGACGTAGATTCGTTAGAATATCAATAAAATCGATATTAAACTCGTAAGATGATATCGATTTGATTTTAATCGATTTATAATTGATTACGATTATCAACAAGTTCAGCTGGAATCTGATCGATACTCGGTTCACTTCTGTTTACTTTAATGAAACTGATTGGAGATTAAACGTCTCGAAGTTTCGTTGATACTAAAAGTGGCTCGCGCAGTCGCGATTCTTATATGAAAGCAACATGTGACGCATCGCGTTTCGACGCGGCGAGCTGGCTGGTTGGCATCGTAAATAAGATATCGTACGACAACGGTGAGCCAACCGGAGGTAACCGCATTCCGCAAACAGATTTGGTTCTTGATTACTGGTACTTAGTGGTACATCAAAATCGTGGATAGGAAGGTGAAAAAAAATGATAGCAGTCGCGACAAAAAATAGAAGCGATCTCATCGCATCACATGATCGCATTTGTTTACGTCGCTCCATATCCTTTTCGCAATACTGTAACATGTGCAAAATTACCAGACGTAAACATTGAGGCACGTGCATCCGCTATCCTATGTTTTGCACCTTATCATCACTTCAATAACAAACAAAGCTAATGTTAGAATAAATATAAATATTTGTTGTATTATTTACTTTGTTCTGAAGTATGCGGAAAATTGCTCCAATTTATTGACAAACTTTTTTTATAGTTTTACAAAATCTTTGTATTAACATAATTTTTTATTGAAAAATTGTTATATTAAGATAAAGATATAGGCATTCAACAAAAGTACAAAATTGTATTGCTTTCCATTTATTTATTAGCATCAAAAGATGTTATGTTTTAGAAATAAATATGCAATATTTATTAAATTTTTATGAGACAATTATTGTAATTATAATAATTGAGATATAATTATTGCGTGTGTTGAATAACTGCCAAACACTTGTAGAAAGAGTTATGTACTAAAATAACAAACATGTTTTGTTCTAAACATTTAGATGCATATATTGTTTTTTTCTGAAATACTTATTGCAATTGAATGCAATTGTTTATCACACTTTATTTAACCTGATACTATCATCTATATATCAACTATGACAAATATTTGTAGGCTATTTGTTAAGTAAACAAGCATGCTTGGAAAACCATGATTTGTCTCCTGAGTCATAAACTAGCGCAGTGGATCGGATGATATGCGACGTCATGCAGTAAATCGAGAAGGCTCGTGATAAGAAACTCTTCCAATTGGTTGTGTCTGTGTGACCTTGCTTGCTCATTGGCTAGCTACAAAGGCTCGCCACATCGCGTCATTCTCTTTGACAGAAATTGGCTCCCTATCTGACACCGTTATCCACAATAATGATGCATTATTTGTAGAATGCGCGTTTGTTCAATGAAAGCAAAACTGGATTTCCAGATGCATAATTGCGCATCATATCATTCATTCGAACAGTCACATCAACATTTTTGATATTGTTATTTATTCTGTTCATTATTCTGAAAAATATTTTACTTTGAAGATCATATAATTATCACAAATTATGTATTGTTGCAAAATTATATTATACAAAATATAAAATTGTATCAATTATTTTATAATTAATAAAATTATGTATAATTTTAATTTGTTTCAGTGACAACTCTAATATTGATGAGGCTTTAACAAAAAAAAAGTATAGAATTGTAGATATCTTTAGTCAGTCCAGTCACATATCACACTACTTTACTTCGCTGTTGGACACTCTGTACGACCTCGCATGCTCACTATCCGACAAGATCACCACTATATATTCTGAAAATCCCACGGGGTTTAACACAGCGCGCTATAATGCACTTCATTCTGCTGAAAGGCTCGTCCAGGCCCGCCGCTATCTCGAATCAATGCACTTTTGATGCAGGTTTGTATCTTGGATTTCTCAAGCATGCGTACTATACAGGATACTGTAGATTTGTGGAGTTATCCTTTGCACGCAAATTACATAAAACTTTTCTAAGGAAAAATGAACTTCAAAATTTAAAAACTTTAATTGCCTAAATTATGTATATGATATAATCATTAATTAAAGATTCAGATTGATATGATTTAAGTTTAGATTCTACATATTTATTTGCGAATAGAAAAAATTAATAGCACGATTCTTTTATTGATAAGACAAGAAAGTAAATTGGGAAAAAAATTGGAAAGGACTGTGATTTAAAGAAGAATGGTTTTTCTTCCTTGATTACCGCGATCAATTACAAATCACTCTCATGGCCGTTTAAGACAACAAATATCGAAAAATCTAAAAATCGCAATTTTTATTTTTTAATTCGTATCTGAGAGAGGGAAATGCAACCTATGCATGGTATAATAATATTTCTTTTTCGCAAGTATTTCCGTGGAGCGCACTGGATTGCGCGTTGCCACGGCTCCGTGGGGCTGTATCAACCCCTATATAAGGCTGAATCCTTCCCCGCGAAACTTTAGACGTGGCTCAGCGGGCGGTCCGACGTGCGATCGTCCTTTTTCCTTTTCTCTCATGCGATACACACCACCTGTAGATTTCCCCTGCGATTCGAAACTCTGCCGTTATGCTCGCGAAAACAAGATTGTTCGCACTGTCGGTTGTTGTTGCTTCGCAAGTGTCGTGGCTCGTGAGTGTACCGCGCGGTAAGATATTTATTCACTTACAGAATACTTTATCGAGATATTGTGGCAATATGTGTGTTTTGTTGCTGCGTAAAGTGCCCATTTAAAACCGCAATCTTAATTTTATTTAACGTAAAAAAATTCTACATGTGTCATATTTTATATTTGCATTTTATTATTTTTTTTTATTATTGAAACAATATATATGTTTTGTTATTTTAATGTGTCATAATATGTTGTAGTATAGCTGGATGTGTAGATGTAAGATGAAGACATATAAGGAAAATCTTCTGAAGGAAAATAGCTTAAATGCAAGAAGAACTATATTTCTAATCATAAACAAATTATTTACTATATCACACTATTCCGGTGAGATATACGCTTCAAGAAGTACAGTATTCCATTGGTAAGATTTTATTTTTTTAAATAAATTCTCGTGATTTTTTTTAACTGGAAGTTTGCGGCGTGTTATTTAAAACAAAAGAAATTTTTCAATTTTTATATTAATATTTTATATTTAATAGATATAACTTTTAAGCGTATATACGACTTTATCGCTTTATATATTTGAGATTTCTATCTCTATAGTGACTAAGCTCATTGGATATGCATGGTTTGTAGTTCAGTATTCAATGTCCTTCCTCTCTTTCCTGATGTTCTGTGTAATCGTGCGTATGAATAAAAGAGATGAATTTTCTGTGTGATTTCTTTAACGTGTAATGACACATCAATTGCATTTCTTCTGCTTGCTGAAGCATAATTATGCAAATTAACACGCTGATATTATTTCAATTTGCAAAGCCAAATTTTAAAATCTTTTATTTAAAAATATTTTATTATTCTATTATATAAAAAATTTTATTATATAAAATATTTTTAATATATTTTTATGCTACAATACTTTTTATTTTGTGATATCTCTAAAAATATTTACAATATTTTTCAATTCTAATGATAACAGTTGAATATAAAATATATTTATTAAAATTAAATTATTTTTATTATTTTTATTTATCTCTTTTAAAATTTAGTTTACTTTGCCAATGTTATTTTTAATTAAATACCCAAATATTTGTCTATATTTACATTCACAGTATTAAAATCTCATGTTTATCCTTTTTGATTGCATAGTGGATTATGGAAATTCTTTGCGAATATACAACGTGGGTGTTCTTATGGCGTCCCATCTCGATAGCCCGTTTGATCTTGAGCGATGTGGTCCAGCTGTCGATCTGGCTTTAGCAGAAGTAAACGACTTCCTGAGTGTTCACAACGTACAGCTACACAAAGTTCAGGGAAGGTAAAAGTTTTGTGCCCAATATTACTGTCGAAAGCAGAATAAGGAAACGCATCCATCATTTTGGACGTTGTATTAGTCAATCGAGAATAGTGAAAATGAGTGTCCAATCTATTCATGTTTCAATGCACGGTAACGAAAAACATGCATCAGATTAAAGACGCTCATCATTAAAAAAACTCATCCCTTAATTCTACCTCATGAAACATTCTTTAATGGACTAGCCATTTGTAACGTCATTTGTGCTTCTGTTATTTTTATCCAGTCAAAGTGCGTGATTTTTTATTTTTCTAAAAAGCTTGTTTACATCGGAAAAAATACGATTGAAGAATACTATGAAATAGTAAAAAGATATATCGAAATTACATCTACAAAAGCACTTGAAAATAGAAGCATGTATGTAATTAAAATCATGAAAAATAATTTCTGCATAATTGTAAAATATTGTCACAAGCGTAGACTTGTGATCATAAATTTCTCGTTTTAGTCTGCGTGTTTTGTTTTCTACACGCTTTAATTCGTTTCGCTGCTCACGTGCACCCCTTTTGCGTCATTACAGTGATACAATTGAACAGGCATTTACATGGAAGAATGCACTCATTATTCATTACTCATCATCTATTAATTGTACGGCGCTCCAAAGATAATTGATGAAAAGGAAAACAATGAACTATTTATAAGTAAAAAAATTATGTACGACATCTGTTATTGATCATCCACTCTCTGCTAAATGACATGTTGTATGAAATGTTATTCATATGTATATATAAAATTTTCTATATACTGCCGCGCCTACATGTGCGTTACATCGTAATATCATCTGTTGCGCGGAACATTACATATTGCTGTACGACTTCAATACTGATAATGGCACCAAAAAGCGTGCTTGTAATGTCATATAATTTACGCAATGTAGAGTGATAATATTTCTAATGGAACAGTCCTTGACAAAGATTGATTCCAACAATTTATTGATAATAATTTTTTACATCTGCGTGACGATTAAAAATTTTGCAGACTGTGCGGATTGTTTCTCTTTGTCGCAAATTACGGTTCGAACTATCTTCATCATTGATAAGAATCTGTGGAAATCGCGAAGACTCGTCGCAGCACGTTTCTACACATCACATTTTCATTAGCGCAGATCGATGAGAATCCAATCATAGGCCATTCATCGGTACAATTAATGTGCCATTATTTTGAGTCGCCGCTTGGATTACGGAATACATCCCCGCACGTGTACCGAATACACCGTGATTATTGTTGCCCCATTCGTCGCTAATTGCACATACGCGCGGATGCGGGATGTTCGCGCGCATTTCGCAGTTTCGCTCCTCAAGGACGCCGACTGTGTTGTACGTGTGTCACGTGCAACTGCATACAAGAGCGCACGTTCTCTCGCATTCACCCTTAGTAATCCGATCGCATTATGTTTGCGCTTTAATATACATACAATCCATCACACGGTTCGCTTTATACGTCTTCACAGAGATTAATATTAATCTCGCAAGCGGATCTAATAAACATTAAATGCTATAGTTGTGATTGCGCAAGAAAATGATCCGAAACCATCGCGGCATTTCGTCACCACGTTAGTTCAAGTTATCGGTATTCTTTATGCTCACAATCAGTACAAATGTACTCTTTGTTCTACATTGCACAAAGTCTTTAAGTAATACATTGTTTCAATTTTTAGAAATAATTTTATAAAATTGCACATACATAAATAAATCGCATAGTGCTCTAACAGATACAATAATAAATGTTTGATTTTTCCAGTTATCCATCATGCAGCGGGGCGCGGGCGCCCGGTTTGGCAGCTGATATGCATTTCCGCGACAATGTGATCGCATTCATCGGGCCGGCTTGTGCGTTCGCTTTGGAACCGGTGGCACGACTTGCGGCGTACTGGAACAGTCCAATTATTACTGGCATGGGTGATCAAGTAGGTCGAATTTGCTTTTGGGCTACGCGTATATTGCGTTCGTATTATGTCTTTGTGTATATTTCGTCGCACTCGGTTCGCGCGATTAATTTTCCGTAAACTTGCATTTGCATAATCGATACCCATCATTTAACATAATATTAATCTTTTAGAGGAGTTGCAATGCGATCTTTGAAACCATTATTGAACAATATTATTGCACAATAGTTGCAATTCGCATAGGATTAATCTGTATTCAAAAAATTTTAACTTATTCTTGTTTCAATATTCAATATTTTCAAAATTTTATTTCCCATTACATGTTTAAGATGAATCACTTTGTCGAAATTAGTATTAAATGTATAAAAACGTGAATTATTGCTTTCCCGCGATCCAAGCCTCCCTCGGAAGGCGAACTGTCAGTCACATCTGGTATCCTTGGAAGGATCCATAAGTGGAAAAACGAAACTTCGGTAAGAAGGAAACTCACTTTAAGTAACTTTTCTTTTGTTTTTTTGGTTATTATGAAATCGCCGCGTTAAGCATTTATGAGTATTGTTATATGTGACGTTTTTGTTTAACACTTTACGACAACATTGATATCTTAATTAACCATGTGTTAATTATAACTGGCATAATCTAGGAGAGCGTTGGTTTTGCTAGAAAGATAAACACACTCGCATAATGTTACTTCGCCCCTTCTCGGGTGAAGAGTTAAGCTCGTTAAGCTCAAAATTACGACGGCAACATATATATGTTGCAATATGTATCGCAACATTTATCATTATTATTATTATTATTATTATTATTATTTATTTTAGTTATAATATTAATTTAATTATAATTATAGTTATAATTATTATTATTTTTTTTTTAAAGCAATTATTTGTAATTATTAGAAATTACATTGGCATAATTGTTTGTCTTATTATTTTGACAAAACTCAATTTTACCGTTTAGATATTATTTGTAATTGTTTTATGAATTCGGTCTAACATATCTTTCACACTTTTTCTCGCAGGGAATTTTCAAAGACAAAAGCAAGTATCCCACTTTGACAAGAATGTCGTATTGTCAATGTCGATTGCGGCTCGTTTTTGCCAGCGTGTTCAAAGAGTTCGGATGGTCCCATGTCGCGCTGATATTGGACAGATCGGATTTGTTCTCGTTAACGGTAGGAAAGAACCTGGAATACGGTCTACGTAAGGACGGTCTTTTGAAGTTTGTGAGAGAATTGGACGGGAATTCCGAGGACGAGTCGTATAATCTTTATCTGCGCGACGCGAGCATGTACGCCAGAAGTGAGTAATCAGCTTCATCTCACGTCGTATTTTGGAAACTTTAACGTGTTCCGTACCGCGCTAATTCTACGTGATCTTCCATTTATGTTGTAAAATTGATAATATATTCATATTAACATTAGTTGCTTGTTGTGGCTCATTTTACATGGAAATACCATGAAAATTACAACACCGAGACGCTGTGTTTAATGTTAATGACGATTTTGAATAGTTGTGATACTCAGCGTTCGCGGAACACTTGTCCGAAAATTCATGCTGGCCGCCCACGAGTTGGGGATGACGCGAGGGGACTGGGCTTTCTTGGACGTCGAGATATTTCACGTAAGATGTTATAAATGATGAAAACAGTTATAGATCCATATATATTTGAGTGACAGCAAATTTATATCATGTGTGACACTTTTCTGCCGATGTTGAGACGATAAAACAATTTTAAGGGCTCTTACTGGGGAGATCACGATTGGGAAGTCGGAGACGAGGACGACGCGGCTGCTAGAAAAGCTTACGAGGCTTTACTGAGGGTGTCCCTTCTTCAGCCGACCAGCCCGAAGTTTCAAGACTTCGCTGAAACCGTCAGACAACGCGCACAATCCGATTATAATTACACTTTCTCGGAAGGTGAAGAGGTGAGCTAATTCTGAAATGATACTTTTTGATTATAATTATCTGTATATTGAAAACAACGATAAATTTATAATTTATAAACTGTTGTAATTTAAATTTATAATTTTTTAAATTAAGAAGTTCCCTGATACTTTATCGATAAAAAAAATTAATTCAAGTGAGTGAAATAAGTTTCTCGTTGGCAGGTGAATTTTTTTATCGGTGCGTTTTACGACGGCGTTTACTTATTGGGGATTGCTCTGAACGAGACCTTGACGGAGGGTGGTGATATCAAAGACGGCATATCTATAACCAGGAGAATGTGGGACCGAGACTTCATTGGTATTACGGGTCACGTCAGGATAGATGATGATGGAGATCGTGATGCGGATTACAGCATCCTTGATTTAGATCCCATTACCGGAAGGTCATTGAAAATTCAGGCGATCTACTCGGCTTTGTGGCAACAATCAAGGGACATCTCGCAAACTGCGATTTCGCGATAAATACGTTTGGATGATCAAAGGCTAAATAAAAATATTGCGTGTTTATACTGAGATTTCGTGACATTAAAGAGAAAATGAAGAAAGTTCTTTTATATCAAATCGCAGTAGGAAGAGAGAAGGTTGATCGGGCTAATATAAAATACTGTCAATAAAACGTTGTAGTAAAATATCATTGCATAAATCGTCGGAGACTAATCGAGGAATATTCGGATATATTTTACAGGTTCGAAGTGGTTGCACATTACTTGGGATTAAACCGAGAATTCAATCCTATGTCTGGTAAGAAGATCCACTGGCCGGGAGGAAGAGAAGGCCCTCCACCAGATATTCCAGAGTGCGGTTTTTTAGGAAACGATCCGGATTGCGCGTCGAGGAGAGAAGCTTACACGTTTGTCGCTTATACAGGCGTAGCGCTCGCCGTGTTTTTACTAGCTGCGATTACAGCCGCGTGCTTCTTGTACAGGTAGACTCGATACGATTTATCGAATCTTACATTTGGTCAAAATTTCGAGTGCAAAACCATTTATGTCTACAAAATAAAATAAAGATAAAATTTTAATATTGAAAACTTCATATCTTTTCCACACAAATTAATCCAAGAAATAACAGCGCATTTATAAGTTTCTATATATCAAATATTTATCAATAAATTTATGTCAAACGATTGATTGACGTAAAAGTTCCTTATGTACAGGCACATGCGGTTGTCCGCCGATCTCAATAACATGTCTTGGCGAGTAAGACCTGAGGAATTGCTTCTCGAAGTTGGCAAGCAGTTCTCGTCCAAGATAAATCTGCATCAAGCGATATCCGATATGAACGTGAGTAATAAATTATAATTGTGCAACGATAAATTATGATTTGTTGTATAATTGCAGAACTTCGGACTGGATCAAAGGATACGTCGCGGATCGCAGATCAGCTGTGAGTCTTTGCCGCCTACGATGGTTTTCACTACTATCGGAATATATAAGGGTGAAAGAGTGGCCATCAAAAAGATCACGAAGAAGAAAGTAGTTGACGTTACGAAGAAATTGCTCTGGGAAATCAAGCAAGTCAGGGATGTCACATCAGAGAATACTGTCAGGTATTTATCTTTCCATGATGAAAATTCATGTCTTATCTTTTATTTTCATAAATGAAAGAATGTGCTTGTCAGGTTTTCTTAAGATTTTCTGTTAGAACAGAATGATCTTGTTTATTTCTATTTGATAAATATTATCAAAGAACTTTTCTCTCGTCTTCTTATCTTGTACAAGTTGTTTGAATGAAACCCGTTAAAAACCTCCCGGAGGTTTACTTTCTTAAACTAACATTGATCGCATACATTTTTACCTGCAATTTCTGACGTTTCTCCGGAAGAGTGCAATAATGGAACTTTGATGTTTGAGAAAATGGCTTCTTTTTTTTTATAACAAAGCTTTACCTCAAACTATCAAAGCGATACTGTCGAGATATATAAGAATCGAAATCTGTCATCAAAAGAAGAAAATTCTGCGGCAAAATTTTTTATCAAAACTTTTAAATTATAATTAAATTTTTACTAATTAGTATAAATTTTTTAAATAGTAAATAAAAAGCAGTTAATCGGGAAAAAGAAAATTTGCTTAAAAATTCAACTTTCTAGCAAAACTATAGACTTTATATAAGCTGCAATTATTTAATAATTAAAAAATATTTTTTAATTTAAAGTTTTTGTGCTGTAAAATTAATCTAGATTACTTTACAAATACAACTTTAAATCAACTTTTTTGCTATGTATTAATGATCATTAAAATTGTTTGCTAGATTTATCGGTGCTTGCCTCTGTTCACCATCGCCGACTGTCTTAATTCTCACGGAATATTGTCCTCGAGGATCGTTAAAGGATGTTTTGGAAAACGAAGCCATTAAACTGGATTGGAACTTTCGAATGTCTTTGATCCACGATATCGTGAAGGTAGAGGCAGGTGCTGAGGTCGTGTTTCTCGTTAAGTTCTTTAATCTTTTATTTTAGCATTGAATTTCTAATAAATCATTTTTATGCGACTCGATTACACATCATTATATACAATTAATTAATACGCTACACAAATGCAACGCAATGTGAAAGATAAAAAAAAGTCTATTCCTTCGCAGGGAATGTCTTACCTTCACGCCAGCGAAGTTTCCGCTCACGGTAAGTTACGATCGTGCAATTGTCTGATTGATGGCCGCTTCGTGTTAAAAATCTCGGACTTCGGGCTTAAAACTCTCACCACTCCCTCCGAGTTGATCATGGATGAGACCTATTACACTAGTGAGTTACACGCGCGGTAGTAAAACTCGACGCAGGTGTCGTTGCGTCATTTTACTTTTATTTGCAGAATTACTCTGGATCGCTCCGGAACTCCTGTCATTAACGGTGACACCCGGGAGCGCTGCGACGCAGAAAGGCGATGTTTACAGCTTCGCGATTATTTTGGAAGAGATAGTGGTGCGCGGTGGTCCATACGAGATTGCCAGAACGTTTATGACACCGCAGGAAGTATGATTTCTTTTTCATTCTGTCTAATTTAATCTTTTATCATCCGTCATTACGTTTGTTCTCTCGATTTTTTTATTTTTTTTTATTTTTTTATTTTAAAGATCGTGAGTAGAGTGTCAGCGTCGGAGAATCCCCCATTGAGACCGGAAGTCACGCCGAAGGACTGTCCGCCGGATATACTGTCGTTGATGGAGAGATGCTGGCATGAAGTTCCCGAGGAACGACCCAGCTTCCACGCGATTCGCGGCACGATACGGGGAATCATGAAGTATACACATTTGATAGCTTCTTACAAATCTTATTATAAAAGTTGCCATAAATGACACGAGGCACGTTTCAGGGGATACTGCGAGAATTTAATGGACGATCTGTTAAGACGGATGGAACAGTACGCCAATAATTTGGAGGCTCTCGTCGAGGAGAAGACCGAGCAGCTGAGCTTGGAAAAGCGACGCAGCGAGGAATTGCTTTATCAAGTGCTCCCAAGGTAGCGGAATCATTGTTGCTTCTTTGAGAGCTTCTGGGCTCTCGCTCTATTATAATAGAGCGAAATTTTAAAGGCAGGTCGCTGGTCAGCTGATGGCCGGAGAGATGGTGCAACCGGAGCAATTCGAATGCGTCACCATTTATTTCAGCGATATCGTCGGCTTTACGGCGCTGTGCGCGCAAAGTACGCCCATGGAGGTGGTGGACTTCCTGAACGACCTGTACAGTACCTTCGACAGTATTATCGGATTTTACGATGTTTACAAGGTACGCGATGCGATCAGGTGAATCAAGTGAGCAAATAGAACACATCTTTGTGAAGAAAATACTACTTCGAAGCGTTTGTCAGAATTTTCGAAACTCCAGACATCCTTACATCGACGACAGATTTTTCGGTAAGTTTAAGAAATTTGTAATCGAAATTTTATGACGCGCAGGTGGAAACTATAGGAGACGGCTATATGGTCGCGTCTGGTCTTCCGGAACGGAACGGCGATGAGCATGCGAGGGAGATTGGACTGATGGCTCTGGCAATATTAGACGCCGTCAGATCGTTCACTATAATGCACAAACAGAACACTCAATTAAGCGTGCGAATCGGAGTGCACAGCGGTCCAGTTTGCGCTGGCGTGGTGGGTCAGAGAATGCCGCATTATTGCCTCTTCGGTGACACCGTAAATACGGCATCCCGAATGGAATCTTCTGGGCTTCGTAAGACACAGATTTTCAGATGAAATTCTAAAGTTTATAATAATAATACGAACAAGATTTTAAAGTCTGAAAATTTAAAGAAATCTGGAAAGATTTTATCGCAATGCGCATAGCAGCAAGATTGAAGAACAAATTTCGAAATTGACTGTAGATTGTATTTTGCAGCTTTGAGAATACACGTCTCCGAAGCGACGAAAAATATCTTGGACAAATTCGGGACGTTCGAACTCGAGCTCAGGGGAGAAGTGGAGCTAAAGGGAAAAGGCAGAGCAACTTCTTACTGGTTAACGGGTTGCTCGGAGCCCGATTCCAGATTAGCCGTACCGAAGTATCGCAGACTGAGTAGCAGTCAGCCCGAGAACAATCTGAACCCATTGATTTTTCCGCTAAATAATACGAACGGTCCGAAAACAAGCAACAATACGTTTATCAACTTGACAGAATTATAATGATTAATGTTCTTCAGTTCTTTTAGGTATAAAAAATTTGCAGCGGAGAATTTTAATGCCACATTTTAGTGCCACATCGTACGTAAGGTATAAAAATTAGGATATATAAAAATGATCGTGGAACCTATTTTTTCGACACTGTTCTTCGATGTGTAAGAACTTAGTGCTATTAAATGTGCCACGTAATTCTGTCTATTTTGTCAACCAAATTCTTTATTTAATGCGATTAATATAATAATGGCTCAATATATCGTCAAAATATTGGCCGTTGTATCGGCAGCTTTCAAATTTCGTTATAAAAAAAATGATCGTGGTTTTCGACAAAGGTGATAATTGACGGACAGAATTACGGCACACTTGATATATCAATGTGAATTGGATGTAACATTGCAACAAAGTAGATTCAGCTTATTACAACTTTTATTCGGAATTTTACATCGATAGCGTCTAATTTACTTAAATAAACGAAATGCAATAGGCTTTTCGTGGACAGGTATGTGTATTAAATTAATATTAATCTAAGCCATACTGCTCTCACATAGGTTTGCTTAGTTATAGCTTGTGTTCGGAGTACAAGTACATTGCACAATTAATACATATAATTTAAATCCACTCGTCTAACAATAATCTACATAAACTACAAGTCTTTAGTTGTTTCGTTTTTTTTTCTTTTTTTTTATGTAAAAGTTTCATGTAAAATAGACGTAAAGCAATTCAACCTGGCTAATAAAAGTTTTTCAATTATTTATTAAATATTACTGTGCTTTCTGTATGCCATATTATATTACTTTGATATATAATTTATCTTTATCAACATATGTTTTTCAACATATTGATATTAGTATCTTCAATTTTTTTTTCTTTCATTATCATTATCATTACGATTATTACTACTATAAACGATTATAAATCTCTGTGATCTCTATACTCTTATTTATTGTTACATCTAGAAGATCTTGTCGATCGATTCCATTTGTGACAAAATCTTGAAAATTATAGACTTTATCGTTGTAAGCTACTTAGACGCCAGGAACATTATTAGTCTGCAAACGAAAGATTACACGTTGTACATATAAATCATCATTTGTTGTATTATATTGTAATAAAGTAACCGCAATAGCTCCACCCTTGTTTCAGGAATCGAATTCTTTACCTAAAACTGATGGCTTTAGCAGCAAGAAGTCTATTGCACTCTGCCGTGTCTGGTAGTGGTAATGTAAAATATGGACTCTCATTATCCTGCTCGGTGAAGTCAAATTTGTGAATTCTCGGTTGCACTTTCATATCGCCAAACGGGCCTTTCAAGATCAAGTAATAAACTGGTAGCGGATAAGTGGTTTTTGTCTTTAGAATCAGCTACGAAACATATTTTCAATCTTAGACCGTAGAATACGTCGTGTATCGAATACAATTATATTTTAGTAAGTGAATTTTTCGGATGCACTCTTTACTTTTTTACTCTCAGTTCACACACACACACATATCCAGACACACATAAAAATCGCAAGTTCATTAATTAAAATTTTTGTCGAAAGATAAGACATGCAATTTTTTCGTACTTGATAAGTCATGTCTCGCTCTGAACTTTGAGTGGGATCGCGTTGACTACTATTGATCCTCGCCTTCACTACCCACTGATTGTTGAAAGCGCCGAATCGTGAGGTTTCATAAAATAATTTGTGAACGAATTCGTCAGTACGATACGGCTTCATCTGTAAATCTATAAATAATGAAATTTTACAGTTAAATGATAAATCTTCTGTGAAGTGACCTATATAGCTGAAAGGGAAGAAGAAGATGCAACAGACAAGTGAAACTAAGGATCATTGCGACCCAATAAAGTTATCTACACGGATCAATCGTAATTCCCGTTGCTGCTTGGGAAACAAAACATCCGGGTATTTATTTTTTACTAGCAATCTACAGAAAATTACTTCAATATCTGTATAATGTTATAGTGATATTTCACAACTGATACAGACCGTTGAACGTGATTTTCTCGTAGGACAAAAGATCAAAGACATTGTCATAGAGCCTACGTTCTTCCAAGGTGCGGGCATCGATTTCGCGCAGGGCCTCCATCACATCCGCACCTGTACGATGAGGATGTGCGCAATGTGTCTCGTGTTCCGGAATCTCGTGATTTGGGCCTCTCCACGGACAACCGATTCTACTATATTTGCAACTAGATATCCTGCGCACAGGTATAAAATAAAATATATCAATGCAAGTATGTATGTACGTTATATGAACAGAAAAAACAGTTGAGAAAGCTTGTATAGGAAAGCTTTGGGAATTAAATTTGACAAGGGAGTACATTTCTGATTTTGCAATACATGTTAAATTTAAGGAAAGTTATGTCTGTGCACACAAAAAAAATTGCCTTCTACTACTACGTATTTTGCAGTCCACCTGTAACTGTGTTATAAACATGAGTCGTATTAGAGATACGCTAACGAAAAACCCCACATTCGCATTACTCTTAAATTTTTCAGGATGTTACAATTCGGACGAATTTACCTTTCTTCGCACATAGACTCCTCATGGTGCTCTAAGGAATTTCGTGGGAACTCCTTCGCGCAATATTGACATTCGGATGGTAACTCAGACACGGCTTTCTCAACTGCCAGATTTCGAGACGCAGTGGTTTTACTGATTTCAATTCTGCAGTTGGGACATGTTGCCATTTCATCTCGCAGCCTGGCATCTGCGAGGACATGAGTGAAGCAACCAGCACACATCAAGTGTCCATTAGCACACTGTGAACATCATTGCAGCATGTATTATTAAGGTTCTTATCATTACATTTTTTTTATTTTTTTTTATATAGAAATGCTAAACCTAGTATTTCGTATGATGCACATTATATTTTTAATATATGCATAACACTCTAAAGTATAACACTCTAAAATATAAGACTTTAATGCATCTTTGTAACAGACACAGCTGACATTAACTTAATACACGTATTAGGGTCGCAACAAGTCAATTTCTTTCTTTTTTTTTCTTTTTTTCTTTGCCATTTTGCATTCTTACTTATGCACACTACAAAAACCCCAGAACATAATCAACCCAAATAGAACAAAAAAATTAGTGCCATGTATATTACCATCATTTTGACGTTTAAACCTGAAACACAAAATCGTACAGATGCTTATTAATCACACAGATTTACTTAACGAGAAATTGTTTAAACTATTACACGGATACTGTCTAAGAGAATTACTTTGAACGGTGCCAATATATCAATGACAGAAAGGAAGAGACGAGGATGATGACACGTGGGACAAGTGAAAAAGGGGGTGGTGTTTTATGCGAAATAACTAACTAATAACCTTTAAGAATATTTATTTTGTTTCGCAACTATACAGTTTGTACAAATCTTTTTTCTTTCTATATTCGCTTTCTCTCCCTCACTCTCACTCTCTCGCTGTTGACTATAATTGATGAGCATCAGTTTCGCATTAATCTAACAATAGATCTCATTGTGTGTATATCCTGAATATATTACTCCCTCTTCTATAATCTCTTATAATAAACATAGTATTTCATAAAATGCAAGTATCATATTATATACTAAACAACTACAGAGATCTAGGATCTTAATTACTTCACTATTTATCTAACCGATTTAATAGAGACAGTAATAAATAATAATGAAACACGAGGTTTCGAGTTCCCGCTATTTTGTGAATTATAGAAACAAACACGATTGGTTCTATGTAAGAGAAGAGAACAGGGCAGTGCAAGTAAAATTGTCTATCAAAGTTAACAACTGAAAAAATATACAATGAATAAGTTCTTGTATCACAAAGGAAAGTATCTCTGTGCGTTTGCACGGGGGACTTTACACTGAGCTTACACATATGTCCGTTTTAACATTAGAAATAATTAAGATAAGCGAGATACAACTCTCGTATTATATTACAATAGTTAGTTATATCAATTATAAAATCCTTTACGCCACTTCGTGTCAATAATATTTCTAAAGAAAAGTATTTTGAAGATGAAATTAATAGCACCGATGAATTTGGGGAGTATCTACAAACAGTTCATCGACAAACGAGTATCCTCTTTGCGACCAATGTTTCTAAACAAATATGAATAACTGCATGCATATATACAATAAGTCGAGAATGCTGCTTAGCGCTCTCTGTCCCACCTATTTAAGGATTTTATGGCATTATGTATTTCCAGTGATTGGAATTGTATGGGCACTGCTATTATACGCAGGCATAATTATAATGAGATGTCAATATAAGTAACCGTGAAAGCTGTAGATGCGCATGTAGAGGGATTCCACTTTTATGTTATGATATCAATAAGATATATTTATAAACAAATCATTGACAAATATTTAATATTATATATATATATATATATATATATATATATATATATATATATATATCTCCCAGAATAAAGATATATGTACATGTATGTACATCTTATACTTTCAATATATATATAGTTCAAGTCTATGATTATGATTATAAAAAAAAAAAAAGATTGTTTCATATACACAAATTTGTCACGAGGACTTTTTATTGGTATATTAGAAACGTCTCACATAAAGAAAAAATATAAATTACCTACCTGTGGAATTTTTAATATGTGTTGTCTTGTCTCAGACATCAACTCTTTGTCTCTAATAGACAAACTCATTATTTGACCTGTATATAAAGCTCAGTTTATGGAATAGGGAACTGTATGAACATTGCTATCGTAAGGTATTTTTGGTATATATTTCAATATCATCAACCTTAACCAGAAATATAAAGGAATCCAAATGTTGATACCAAATCCATGTTACATCACAGTTAACATTATTTAAATCATTACACATAACAAAATAAAAAAATTCAATTATTTAACAAATAATTTTTATACCAAGGTTACTAATTTCTGCAATTTATTACAGCAAAAAAAAAAGAAGCAAAAGATGGAAAAGGAGAGAGAGAGAGAGAGAGAGAAAGAAGTTTTAGTAGAAGGATAAAGCAAGGGGAAAAAAGGCAATCTGCTGTAAATAATAAAATAAAGATACCATGATGAAACCTCTGTGTGTAAATTTTCTCTCAAAATTGACATCGTCAAGAGATAGGTACGTTCCTAAAAAAACCTGCGATACAACTTGTTTACAGTTTCAATAATATATTTTGTAAAAAAATGTTTTGAAATCTCAGTAAACAAAATGCATTTCAGACGACGCTTCTCAAGGAGTGGTGTTTTCGATATCCATATACGTCTCCCGCAGGAGAATGAAGCTCGTGAATGGCGCACACGGTATACCAGTGACGCGACTAGTACTACTACTACTACAGTCTAAAAACCGACCGACTTATGCAGCTTGGTAAACGGGTCGATCAACGGGGTCGTCGGGAGGGGAAGGAAGGTAACGTCGCAATTATCCTCGTGAGCGTAAGAGAATGCCGCGCCTCGACAGGCCCGATGCCAGGTCGATTTGGACTCGCGTCACGATTCGCGATACGCATTTCCGACGACATCGACGCGCTAGCTCGTTGTTGTTAGCGATTTGCTCAGAGGACTTACCTGATAAACGGCCGCTCGCGGTAGATCGAGGCAAACTGCGCAGCAGAGGATACCGCCCAAGCGGTGTTCCAGCTTCTGCTCCGATTTGGTGTCCTCGGCGCGCAATACCTTCCGCCGTTTCTTGTCAGGCTCGATGAAGTCCTCGCTTTTGTCGAGGTCCTCGCGTATCGGCGCCGTGACGACGGCGGTGGCGGTCGCCGCCGTCGCGGTGATCTGTTCCGCGACGCCGCTCGACGATGCAGGCTCGTTGCTCACGTCCGCCATGTTGCTTGTTTTGGAGTTTTCCCCTGAGCGAACGCGAGAAATGCGCAGATGTCAAAGAGACGCGTTGCCTCCACCTCTCTGTTTTTCTTTCTCTGTCTCGCTCCCTGACCTGACGTAATGTAACACGCGCACTTGTCCTGTCTCTACGCGCTCTTTCTTTCTTTCCCTCCCGTCAGGCCCTTTTTCACCTTTAAAGGGCTCGCGCCGCACTCACGCCCGGAGAGTTGTTTTAAGCGAGCAAAGATTAATTTTGGAGTAACCCTGCTAAATGCAAGTGACTTTCTAATATGGGCACTCGATAATGTCCAAAGTTAATTTAGATTGAAATTAACTTAAAGATTGTCGATCACTATATTTTTTAGCTCTCTACTCGCATTCCACGCGATGTATAATTTCTGAAAACTGACAGATTCAAATGAGGTTATTTCTTTAACAGCTGAGAATCTGAAGTCGTCCAATGTCGGGAAGATAATCGATTGGTAAACGAAGGGCATCCAACATCGATTAATCGATTAAGCGACGCGCACCGGCATTCGGGACGCTTCGGAGATGCAATGCACAGAGATGGAACGCGTCGAAAAGCAGGGAAATGCGTAATACGCAAATCAATAGGACAAAAAGCGGCGAAAAACGATGGAAATGGATGGAAAACTGCGGCGCGTCGGCCGGGGATCGATCGATTGTTCGGACTGGCGGAAGCGGCGGTAGCGCGCACAAACATTGGCGGGGTCAGTGATCGAGAACGCTTACTTTGCTTTGTGTACATGTTATGGAACTTGAAGGTGAGATTTGAACAGGAAAAAGAGTAACAGCGAGGTTTAAGTTATGCAATTTCAGTTATATTTTATATGCCGAATCTCATGCAAATATCAATTCTCCCCAAACAAAATATAAAATTTAGGAGTATGTCTATATATATGCCTACGTACTCTTACGTAGATGAAATTCTTTGTAATTAACTTTATTTTGAAAATTAGGCAATGTTTGCGTGTGGAACACAAATAAGTACATGAATACAAGCTATAGCATCTTCTTAAAGAATAACGGACGAATCAAAAGAAAATAAAAACAGACTAGCAGAAATCACTGATGATTGAATGATACTCATAGGTAAATTTGAGCGATAAGCATTGGCAACTTCATGCTACTGAAGAATGAAATTTTAATCTCAATAAAATCGTATGATACGCCTCGTCGGGTCGATCGATTGCTCAGGGCTATCGGAAGTACAGCGTACATTTATGGGGTCAGTGATCGAGTGCGGCGCAAATGCGTCGTACTTTCCGCAACATTAAATCCCTCGTTTCGTCATTAATTCACTTAATTCGCCGTCACTTTTTAGAGAAAGATATCGATTCGTTGCCGCATTGCGCAAAAACGATAACAATCGTTTATGCTATATCTCGAGATATATATATATAATAAGATATATTCGTAACGCATTTTGGAAAAATTCGCATATTTCGTTAATTTTTAGATAAACTGAAAATGCTGCCAATGAAAAAGACGTCCGCAAATTTCCATAAAATTTCAGCGATAAGCGACATAGAAATTGTCTTTTATCATTATAGTTATCGTTGGATGTGACCTTCGAGTTTGACTTGCTAAATAGTAATGCGTAGTTGAGATAGAACAAAGCAAATTGTCAAATACTTTGTTGCAACGCGTATTATTATTTCGAATTTTCAGATTCACTCTAATTTGATTTTTTATTATGAGATGTACAATTTAAATCTCCTATATTTTAGCTTCAAATTCGTATAATTTTCTGTTCGTAATTCAAATTGCACACACATATTTAAGAAATGTGTATAAAAGCAATGTAAAATTTAATTAATAAGTTAGATCAATTTATATATTGAAATTTATTGCCAAACTTGAGTTATAAATTCGTGTCAATGTTAACAGGATGTAATCGCGATCCCCTACTTACTCGTATTCGGGCGTACAGTGCGGTTTTTCCGAATTACGTAGCGATTTACGGGAACGCGTGTTTCATAACACGATCGAACCACTAAGCGGAAAAACTAGCCGAGACTGAATCATCCGTCCACGCGCGAGGTGGCTTTACAAAGACGCACTGCATCTGTTGGACCAGATGTACCGTATAAAATTACGAGGGCCGACCAATCACGCGAGACTTAGAGGCATGCGAGCGGGGCATACGGAGATCGGGACGATAAACCTTCGAATTATGAGGGGCTGAAAAAGCGCTGCATTTCCTAAAAAAATGAACAAGTTAAAATAATAATAATAAAAATTTATGCCTTTGTTTTAGATTGAATTGAATTATTTCGAGCTTTATCAAATTTTCATTTCTTTAACGAGTTACTTCGTTACCTAATCTTATTGTAAATTAATCGATACGTTTGATGATCCTGAGGATATAAGGAGTCACATCAACTTCATTATGCATCTTTCTCCTTTTATTAACTCATTTCAATATTGTAGCCAATTTACCGCGTACTCGCACGTAAGTTCTGGCTATTTTTTTGTGAACTTAGATAATTATCTAAAAAGTATCCAAGTTTACTTAGATAATTATTTAAAAAATATCTATCTTCGCCAAAAAAATGCCAGAACGGTATTTCGAAAAATTGGTCTTCATTTTTAATTTCTTACGCTCTGTATCTTGAGAGATATTAAAATACTATATTCGTCTAAATTTTTTTGTTTACTGTTACCGCATGCGAAATAATTACATGCGAATACTCATATATACTAATTTTCATGTATCAATGTATATACGCTGTCTACAATTACACAAGGTCTTCGGTGAAAAATAGCTTGTTTGTGTACTAAAGAACCGAGATGTCGTATATAAGCCTTTCGCATCGAAAAGTTCATTACTTCCGCATATATTTCAGAAATTGTTATCCTTTACACATATAAAAATAATGTTCATCCTTTGTTAAAGAAATTCGATCAAACAACTACGATCAATAGTAAAAATTAGTTTTTGCCGCAGAAAGAGTAACATTTGAACCATTACATTTAACTATACAAGTAGTGCGCGTGTTGTTAAATTAAAAAATTGAGGACACATGTGATCAGTATGCTGTGTTAAATTCAAACTTAATTAACTTTGCAATCAGAATGTACAACCATTATATCTTCATTGCTTTATCACACTGTTTGTTACTTTTACAACTAATAGGGTTGCATCTATATATGTATTAACATTCTGGATCATCTCTCTATCCAGTTTTCTCTCTGCATCCTGAAAATCTCTATTGTATCTCGTGTTAGAAAAGAATCCACGATAGCGCGCTGCTACGCTATCTACGTAAAATGTAGAAGAGTAGAAAAACTTTTTGGTAGTTGTACACTGCCGTTAACTCGAATACGAACACTTTTCTAGACGCTATACAACCGAAAATGTGCTTTAGACGGCTGTGGACTTTGTACTTTCATACGCAGTATTCCTGAAATACCTTTTTTTCGCTATGTTATGTTCGGTGTCGTTCGGAAATTGACGATGTCTAAGTCGGTGTCTTTCGGATCTAGGTCGAATACAGAATGGTTTTATCTTACTAACAACAACGTTTACGCGCTATTAGTTATTGCTCGGCGTGAATAGCTTCTTTCAGGCCACGACTTGTACGTCTTGATCGCACATGTACGTAATCATACATTAATTAGATTCCGGCGGATTACTCTACTCGGGCGCACGATCCAGGTCATAAATAGTCTCTTCCTATGTACAGAGAATTGTAACGTACTTAATTTATTAGTATTTACAAATGCACAGCTTTGTCAGGCTGCGAGCAAAGCGACTTCAATCCCCATAAAGATTTCCTCTCTCGAGCTTCTTCGAAGTCCGTTCACTCCTCGCGCGCATTGAACTCGCGCTTAAGTCGCCACATTTGCAAATTCTCATTTGGAATCTTTTTCTGAGCAACATCACTTACATCTGTAAAAACGGTTTAGGAATAAGTGTAAAAAATTCATCTGTCTATAAATCTGAAATTAAATTTTGCACGTCTTACATATGGTTTTATCGCACCTGTCGCGTCGCGATCCGCCTCTGTGGTTATATCGCCCATCAGCGACTCCGGTAACTTAATTTTGTTAACTTGCTGCTGATTCTGCATTTCGGATACAGTCGCGAACATTATACTGGTGGAATTCTTAAGCCCATTGTACGATTGCTCCAATTGCTTGAATTTGTTAATTAATTCCACATTCGTCGTGCGTATCTCATTCACCTACGTGATTAATATTATTAGTACTGTAAAATGTGAAAATCTTCAAAGATGAACAATGGCAGAGAAAGCAATACACAAAAGATTTGTGTGTTAATTAATGTATAAAAATTTTTATGTATTTATAACCGTTCTTGCGCTCCGACAATCGCGCTTATCGCTTTCTCTATCATTGATTAATATTATTAGCTGCTAGAAAGATGTCGGCGGAGTCTCGTATTTAACGAACGTACTTTTTCCGTTAATTGTTGAACTGATGCTAAAACAGGAGCTTGTTCGGATATTTTAACGCATTCCCCTTGTAGAGACATCACCGTCGTGTTAATAGCTGCCGTTGCTTCTTGAAGTGAAACTAACTTTTTCTGAAGGAATAAGAAATATGATGTTACTATAACGATTTAAATTTTATCGATTTTACTTGCATTACATCATACTTACGCGATCTTTATCTTGATCGTCGGCAACCCATTGCAATTTGCTCGACAGGGTCTCATTGACATGCGTTAAATTGTTCGTCAAATGCAATATTGTGGAATTCAGTTTATCAGTCTTAACTTGTGCCTCGTCGGTGCTCAAGATTTGAGGCTTTTGAGTGACGTTCGACAATTCTAACATTGTATTCTGCGAACGCAACAGCCAAATGTTAACAGAAATTAACTCGCGTTTTTCTATTTTTCTTTCAGATTATCAACGTGGATCATTTTTTCACCTTAATACTGCTGATGTTCTGCTGCATAACGGTCTGTGCATCCTGTACCCTCATATTTGTTTCCTTCAAGGTGTTCACTGTAGCTCCCAGGTCCCTTATTTGACTGCCAAATGTCGCAACGCTGGTCGACAGCTCGTCCAAGCGTTTCGGCAAATTGGCCATCTCGGGCGCGGCTTGGAAGTACTCCTGCACTTTATGCAAGTCTTGTTGAATGTGCGCCAGCTGCAAAAGTATTGATCCCGAAGAGGTATGAGTCATCCCGACCGATATCACACAGCCGAATTATCGATGCTACTTGCGCGGTTTTACCTGTACCGTAAAATTGCTTATTTGCAGCTTGAGATCAGACAGTCTGGAGAAAATGATAGTTTGGTTATTCTGGAGGTCTCTCGACAGCGAATGACATTTCTGCAAAGCGTCCGGGACACCTTCGCTACCCGCTATCACTGCAATGCACAAGAGATTACACACGGAAAATTATGGTATCGCGAAAGGACATCAAACAGTGCAATGTTACACGATATTGCTGTGATGCAATTCAAGTCCTGAAAGGTTCTAATTAAAAATATTCGCAGAAGTTATTCTTCGTACATTAAGAAAATCTTTAGATATAAAAATATGTGTATTAATGACGCATAGACTTGTATTTGTTCGTTCGTATTTTCGATCAGATACAAATAACTTCTTTTTACAGTTACTGCATGGCTCGATGGATTGCTCAATACGAACGCATTGTCGATCATCGCAAATATTAGACCAGTACCTTGGTCTAATTCGGTTCGCAAAGCGGTAAGTTGTTGACGAACGTCGATGAATAGCCATATTAAACTGGCGGTCGCTAATACAGAGGCACACGCCAAAAAGGCGTTGCAAGCCTTCAGAAATCCAGGACAAGCACGACCCCTTCTACCCCTGCATTTACGACCGTTTCTAGTGGAGACATTCCAATATTCCGAGCGATCGTCACTGCTGTCTGTCAACAATTCCTAAAAAAGTAAAGAAAAAGCAAGTGAATATCAATCGGAAAATATCACTTTAATCTCGATTTATGTTATAATTTCTTATAATTTTATATATTATTCTTTTGTCTCGCTTTTCTTCTTACAACGTTAAATAACAGTGGTTGTTTTTACAGAGGAATATTCCAAAGTCTGCTATTATTTATGGCTCATTCGTTTATCGCATTTTCGAGAAACAATGCAAACATTGACACAAGTGGATAACTCAAGAAGATAACGTCACTATGCTGCACGCTTATTATTAAAATTTATATCAATATCGATTCTAAAATGTATGTTTCTTTATTTATTTGCGAAGAATTTTATTTTAAGTGATATTTTATTATTTTTATCGCTTGCAGATTTAAGAAAACTATTTCGACGTTGTCGATCGTTGTCGAAGAGAGACAATTAAAAGAATCTAAAGAGAGAATTTAAGAATTAATCACCTGCGAGCTGCGTTTTCCAGAACTGCGGCGAGAAATAGCGTGCGCCGGTGCCAGAGCATCGAGTTCCTTCCGCTTCTTCATCTTCTTCGTCGGCTGACGAAGCGGCACCGTCACCGCCACCGAGTCCATCTCAAGTAAGACCACGCCGCCTATCTTTCAAAAATACTTCCGCCAGATTCGGGAATCGGAAATCTCTCCCCCGATTTTCCACTTCACTTCCGGCGCTTCCCGGACGCCGCACGATCGCCGCAAACTCTGAAAATCGTTCTCCGATCGCGCTCATTCATCTCCGTTCGACTATCAGCGAATCGAAGAGTTCGACTGTCGACATTCGCATTTAATCACTTGGAAAACCTGCGCGGTAAGCTACATCTTCGTGTCTTCGACGTATCCGACACACTTTCTCGTTGTACTTTCAGAACTTGCGATCACTGTCCGGCCGACGCACTTTAATCGATCCGGATTTTCGTTGTTTAAACGTTTAGCGTAACTCGTACCTGCGTGCATTCGTTATTTTATTACCGTTTTTAAAATTTATCACACTTCGTGGAGGAGAGATGATGTGTGTCGTTTGCTAAATCTCATGTAATAATTGAGCAATTGCGATCAAAGTCAACTTCTCTCAAGTAGTACGTAATTTCAGATAAGATGCTTGTGAAATAAGAATTGCTTTTTTGTGACGCAATAATGGTAATTCGAATGTCATTGGAAAAAAAAACACAATAGAAGGTTGAGACAAAGTGCATTAATGCAGATATCAATATACGCTTTTTAAAAGTAGTAATCCTTTGATAAAAACCGGAATTAATGGCACGCTTCAGTGATTTGCTCGGCAGAAACAAAAAAATAATGAGCCAAGTTTCGACGCAACACAATACAAATATTTACAAACGTGCTGATAGAGTTTGAAACATCAATGAATACAATTTTAATTAATTTCCTCGGAGTTGTTGGTGCAATTTTTCATTTCATGGATGTTTCCAAATTTTTAATTCAGGTATCCATTTGTTGATTAATTAACTCATCAATTTTCAGAGTTTATAAGAATTTATGAGTGTTCAATAAGATAGGCTAATTTTGTTATATCACATTCACGATAATCATTGAACTAATTATCTGAAGAGCCAACTTTCGATTAAAGTTTAATTAGCAATCTGTTATCAATATGCGTCACAAAATACTTCAAACAACAACTGCACAATTAGTACAAGCTTTGAAAAGTAAGAACAAAAATCAGTCTAAAATGAGAATTGAAACTGGTATAACTTTAATAATGTTTCCATTCGTCACGAATAAAAAATCGTTTTCACGTGATGTGTATTACATCATGCAAACTGAATTTACTAAAATTACTAAAATTACGTCGATTTTAAGATTCGGACTTCGAGATTGAAAAACGTGCAGACGACGCGAGTGCCGAATTTCACGTGTCGAATATTACATCGGCGTATTCCTCACTGAGGCTTCTTATCAGCCGGCTGCCACCTGAGACCCAAGGCGGCAGCAGGTGAGCCGTGTGCCTGTATTTATCACACATACAATGCGCGCGATCGAAAAGCCAGCTCTGAACTGGACGCACGTGATACACAACATGCACGGGTAGATCGGCACGACCGATTCACCGGTGCGCGACTATTACGTCTCAAGTGAGAGAACAACCGCGTTAAAATTGCTCGTCGACGATGACGACGATAAAAAGACAGAGAACTGACTGATAAGAGCAACCGTCGCCGCATTGCTAATCTTTTCAAGGCTTCTTTTCACAATACTCTCGTAGAGAACCTCAATACAATGCAATCTCTCGTTCAATAAATATGATAGCAAATGCATAATGCCTCAATGTTGAATTGCTCGCCTTAATCGGTATAATCCGATTCAACAGACACAGATTTCAGATAAAGCTGTTGATTCTGAGATAATTTGGTCATCCATTTTGATTGTAGAGGAGTCAATATTGGTTGTATATATACGCTTTATTTTATTTCCAAGTTTTTTAAGAAAGCAGAAAAAGAACTGTAGTTCTGAAATTAGCTTGGAATAATGAAGTCGCTTAGATAAAAGCAAATAGGTAATATATCATCGATAAGGTGTTTTATCGTGTATTTTTAGCTATAATTATATTTCTTGCTTCCAGCTCATGATTACTCTGAATCGGTAAAATTGAAACGATGAGACTGTATTGTAACTATACTGTAACATTTGAATTGACGACAATCCAACGGATATATTATTACTCAATGCTCACGTATGCGATTTATAATTCAAGAAGTTCAGTGTGACACACTAATTCGAAGAATTTCCAGCGTGACACATCAATATGTCGCTAACTCGGTCGTCTGGATGGAAAGACGCCGCGACACAATTACGCTTGCGGCCCTGAACTCGATAAGATACCGACGAAAGGACGAAAATGTTGTTTTGCGTTACGATTAAAACGTTACGCTAAAATTTTGCGATTTTTGTTATTCGGGAGCTCGCTTAGTTTCGCTGTATTGTGTTACATTTTCCGTTCGATCGCTGATGAATTTTGCAAGCTGAGAGAATCAATTGACATCAACTTGCTATCAAACTGTTACGGATACATTCAAGAATAAAGGTAACTAGAAATAATTATAAAAATGTTACAAAATTTAGATATCCTGAAAATTTCTACACCATTACACTTTCAATTAATTTAATTACTTTTAATTACATTTAATTTAATTACTTTTTATACCATACACTGATATGTAAAATTTAGATGCGCCACTTTGAAATTGAATGCATTTAAATACGCGGATGTGCTGAATATGCGAATTAACGGGCAAACACTATTTCGCTGTGTAATCATAAACAAGTTGGCTTCGTTACGGCAACACCGATATCGCTTGATCAACTGCCGCGTTGATTTTCCTCGCTAATCTCTAATTAAATCGCGTGAATGCGACTGTTATCGCGTATCTTTCACGGAGTCACGTATTTTCAAATTCTCATCGCGCGTTGCATGTCGCACGAGGCGCGTATCACGACGAGGAGACAGAAGTGAGTGCTCGTAATATTAAGAATCACAATAATGGTATGCTAATTAAGCGGTTGCTGATTAATCCTACAAGTCGATTTACACAAGAATTCTCTCCGTGACAAACAACTAATCTTATCGTAATTATACTTTTCGTACTATCTTCATTAGCGCTCATACGTTGCGTCACACGTGAAGATTTTCATTTTAAATGAGAGAGAAATTTAAATTCTCTCTTTTCGAGAGACGATCGATTACAAATCCGCTAAGTAATCCATCATTAATATCGAAGTGTATCCGTGACCCTCGACATATGACGAGCAATATATTAAACCCCTGAAATTCCGAGCGAAAAGAAATGCCAGACAGACTGCAAGATGTATTCGGTGATACATCAACTCCCGACGGTGTTTCTATACACGCGTATGTTTAAATATTTATTGCATTTGCGTCAATAACTGGGTACAGTCGTGTCCTCGCGTGCGAGTTTATATACCACTGATATACCTCGTGGCTTTCTGCTGGTCTTCCATATTTATCGGAAAAAAGTTCCTTCTTGCGGGAAAAGAAAGAATACCGTGAGTATCGTTTCACGTTATCGTCGCGTGTTATTTAATGCCAAATGTGCCTTTGATCGTCCTGTAAACGCGTTGGAAACGTGATTGTTATTGGCATTGGATAAATAATAAAAATTGGTCTCGGAAGGCCTTGTTTACATTGTAAATGCAAAACTATGTAAATGATGGGCACATCCGTACTTTTCGCGAACCTCTCTCACAAATCAAGTTTTACCGATATCGTTTTCGACATTATTTGTTTTCGCCGCTTCCACACTGATCTTATGCACTTGTAAAAATTCCGTATTGAATTTCACTTGTATGAAAATATTTGCAATCAAGATTTATTTCTAACTATTCTTCTAATTTCAGCACTCGCGTCGTCCCGCATTTGCGATCTCATATTTGAGGGCCGAACGCGTAACGAGGATGCGATTGTCTCCGCGATTCAGGGCGGAGATGAGGAAGAGGAAGCCGAAGAAGAGCAGGGGACTCTTGTGCGTGCAGAACTTGACCTACGGGGGATGAATTATAGAAGCGATTCTAATCGATTACCGGCTACGGACGGAAACGAACGGACGACACGAGCGACGGCGGCGTTTCACTTTTCCGACGAGGATTTCCTTGAATTGTATTCGATGGTGTATGCGTGATTCAGGATCAGATTGAGGAGAATAACGGGGCCCGACACGCCTTGGCAAAACGACACACGAACTCGACGATATCGTGAAACAGCGCGCAGCGTCGCGACGCGGCCAGCTGCGCCGTCGTCCGATATTGACTGGCCGAGGGTTGGTAGGCGACTGTAGACGACCGAAGTCTGTTGGGGGGTTTCCTCTGATAAGAATGTGCAGCGTATAGGGAATTTTTAAATGGTAATGTCGCATAATACGGCGTGGATTTGACGAAATAGCGCGAATTGCACGTACGCGAAGTCGATTGTTATTTGCTATTGTTGATGATATTTTTTATGTTTTAGGATAATTCTTTTTTTGAGCAGTCAAAAAGAATAAATTAATAATCCTGAATTTCTATGAAGAAGTGCAAAATGATGTATAAATTAGAGTAGTAATAATTGGAATTTTTTGGATACAAGAAAATATATATGATAGATTTAAAAATCGAAAACCAGGAAGAAACTATCTTCTATAATAATTACGGGTAAGAAATTACAATTTTTTATAGTACTTAAAAACGTATATGAATAAATTGATACTTAAATCGTTTTTATACTATAAATTTTAATAAACCTTATATATTTGGGATTGATATAAAAAATAATGTGGCAGTTAAAAAGATATACCACTACAAAAAAATATTTGTTGAAACACTCCATAAAACATTCTATAAAAATATTTGCTTTTAATTTGAATTAAAAATTACATATTTAACATTAACATTAAAAATATGCCTACATAATTAGATTCATCCATAAATACTAAATATTAGGTAAACTAAGCATACAAATAGAATAGTGTTATTAGAATTTTTATCATTTTCCATCACGCAAATTGGGACGTTTGTATTAATATTAAATATTTTCATATGCCCATAGGTCTGTTTTTTTTTTTAGCTGAACTGGCAGCACTAGTTCAGAGTTTATCTTTCTCCTTCCAATGTGGAGGGAAAAAGATAAACTCTGAACTAGTGCAGCCAGTACAGCTAAAAAGAACAAACCTTATGTCAATTTTATTCTAATACTAGATGATTAATAATATACAGAAATAGAATTTAAGGCTTCAGAGAGAAAAAAATAAGATTTAATAACATTTTCTGAATGCAATTACATTTAATTAGAACCTTTCATACTTTAATTTCTTAGTATGTTTCACTTTTCATTGAAAGATAAAAATTATATTTCTTATACGAGCTAAAGTAACGTTTACCTGATTTCATAGATATGTCCATTTTTCTAATCTCGCCATACAGTATGGCTGCCAGCCAAGATAAAGCAATTAACCAGAATGCAATTAGTACAGCTGCCAACCATAAGGATATAACTCGCATATCTGACTTGTAGCAGCCGCAAGAATCGTCATGTCTGGTTCTAGATAAAATCCTTGATCTGTGCCGCCTGTAATTAAAAAATATTACATAATGTAAGCTTAAAGCAACAACAATTATCCGTATTAATTATGCATACATCATTCTCTAAACTGTTACAAACAAACAATGATTACCGTTTGACTTTTTTCTTTTTTTGAGGTGTGAGGATCAGGTCAGTACTGTCAGAGTCGCTTTCTGACAGCAAATCGAGCAAGTTGATGGTCTCCTTGGAATTTTGCTTCTCCATTTTCGTTCACAAGTGTATATTGCATTTCATGAATTTTCAAAATCATCAGAAAACTGTGATAAATGATCTCTAATATTTTATGACACACTATACAAAAGTAAGTAGTCTGATAACATCACCTTCTTTTTTGTTAAAAGTGCTTGTTAGCAGTTATTTTAGAAATCTTAAGAGAAATTTCACATTCTCCCATATATTTCGTAAGCTAAACGAAACAAAATACAATTTGCACTTATCACAACATAACCATAAAATCTTTTCAAGTCTTTTGTTCTTCCTAGGTACACTATTTGTACTTTCCTTCGTTTTCGCTCTTTTTTCCTCCAATGGTTTAGTATGTGTCATCTCATTTTCATCACAGGAAACAGTGCACTGTTTCATGCGTGCTGCGTGACACTCAACATTAAACAGTGCTTCAAACGACATCTATGGAATAGTTGAGATAACTTGCGGAACATCTGTACAGTTTTTGATACCAACAGTAAGTACGCCGCTATATACAAATACAGAAGTAAAAAAAGGTAAAACATAAAATGTAGATAGGTTATTTTGAAAGATTTTTTTTTAGTTAAAAAAGTCTCTTTATCTTTCTTCGTATATCATGCACATTTCCTATACTCTTCTTGAAGAAAAAAATATTCTCTTGAAGAAAAGATTGTTGAATGAAAGAAAGTACTTTCACAAAGCGCGAATTTGTTGCTATGTAGAAACGATTAAAAATTATTTGATACATGAAGACGTAATGTAACAAGTGTGAATTAGATTATCCGTAAAAAGATAAGATTATTACGTAACGAAAAGATTTAGCTATACTATGCACTATATAAGATTTTTCAGTGTCGTGAAAGTATATTATAGTTGGTTTTTGATGCTTTACAATAGTGTGTTTTCCTGCTAATCATGCAAGTCGACACGATTATCATTTGTTCCAATCCAATGAGCAACGGAGAGAATAATATTTTATATACTTTTGTGTCACTAGCTGGAAAGCACACACAATCTATTATAATATGATGATTAATATTCGCAAAAACCATGTTGTAATGTGAACAAGTTTCTTCCTGTGAAGTAACATCAAATTATGTTCATGATTTATTGGGAAAAACCATTTTATTTCGCGTTTGTCTTTATTGAAAAAAATTCACGCTGTCGTCTGGACGTTTGGTTGGCTGGATGTGACACAGCCGAATTTCAAACAACATCAGCTATGCCGACATCTTGCCTTCTAGACGTCCAGTTAAAAAAAAGTTATTATATCGCAACTGTATAAGACGCGAAAGATTCTTAAATATTGGAAATTTTCATAATTTTACCGCAGGTTTTATTTTTTTCTTATTACATACAACTTCTGCTTTGTCAGACTTGCCTTGCTTATACACATGTTATTTGCATAATTATTAATAATTCAGTATAATTACATAATATGAAAAATTAAATAAAAATGCAAAAAGATACACTACACTGATAAGATGCGACTATTAGCTTTTATTCGAAACTATTTTATTAAAAGATTTGGGTATTATTTATTCTCGTTTAAATAGATAAATAAGTTTATATCAAACTAGTGAGAACAAATTTTTACTATTTGTTCATTGTTTACTTAATGTATATTTATTTATCTTGAAAACTCTCTAAGTATCCTTAGTTATTAGTGCTCATACTTACAGTTTGATTGATTAACACTATCCAGGTATTTCCTTCGCAAACATGTTCAATTATTCACCAAACTTACAATTTTTTTCAATTTTAGGAAGGAAAACAAATTTCATTAAAACATTTCGTCGAACGAGATTTATAAAGAAAAATTTGAAATCAGATAGAGCGGGACATGGAGAGTTACGAGCTGCTCCGACACTCAGTTGAGTCACCTACACCTGTACGAGGCTGGAGGTTCGCCAAAGAACTGATAGCGTAGACGTCGTACCTTCGAAGATGCCGGACACAAGGACGTGCACACCGGAGCGGCCTTTGAGAGGGGGATGAAGCCTTTTTCCTCCTCGATTGGCTGCAACCGCAACGGTTCGGGCCGGCCTCTTTTCACGCCGCTTTTCATCATCGCTTTCTGTTGTTCCCGGAGCCAGAACGAAAGGTGTTAATGAAACTGGCTGCATTCTCGTGCACCCGCACCTGCGACATTCCTAGGAATCCTCGCTATTGCGCACGCCGTTAATCACTGTTAATGTCACTGAAGAAATTAGAATTGAAAGGTAAACAAACACTGATTGAAGATACACTTTTATATACATATCCTTAATGAAGGAACTCAATTAAGTCATGAGTTCGCTAATTCAATTCACGCTTTAGAACAACTTATTTCAATGCAAATGTATCATTTGTAACGAATATGACAAATTTGTTTAGTAATATTCGACATTAATAATTTTACTAAAGCCAATTAATTGCAGAGCCGTAGTTTCCCAGAAGTTTTGCATGAATTAAAAGCCACTTTATAGTTTGCGTATGACAATAAGACTTTCGTCAACGATGGGTCTTGTACTGGTCGGGGTCCTCAAGCGGAAACGCGTCCGAAAAGCGTTTTTTGGCATGAACTCGCAATTATAATCCCACCCACATGCACACAGGCACACGCATTACGCACGTTTGCGGGATCCTTAATGCACTTCGTGACTTCCGGTACCGAGCGCAATCGCGCACCACCGAAAGAGTCACGTGTGGCTGTCGGTGACCGGATATGGCGAAGAACCGGCCGACACCAAATCGTTCAGCGGGCATTTCTTCATGCCGATCACGCGTAACCCGTGTACCAAATACCGAGCACCAACCGGTGACATCATACCCATTGTGTACATAGACGAGCGCTCGCGTTTACGCTTATTTTGTTCCGTGCATCTTCGCCTAGAGTGCCGTCATTATCATTCCATCAAGGTGGCATCATAAACGGGGATATTGAAGCCGGTATGGTTTCGGTGCGTTCGGATTTCGACGCTTCAGGCATGCGAAAACGGTCTCGTACGTTTTATTTGCGACGATAGAATAGCAGCGTGAGACGTTGTTCAGTTTTTCGTATTTACGACCGAAGCCAGGTTTATATTTTTTTTTCTTGAAAAAGCCATAAGGCTTAACAAAATTATTGATCAATCCCGATTTTCGATTTTCATAAATTCTCCACCGAACAGAATTCTGATTTCAGAACAAATACAGAATGCAAAATTCATAAGCGGATAATTAGAAATATTTTTAGAACTCGAGAAAATATTTGCAACTATCATGCAAATTTATGATTCACAGTGTTTTGTCTGTGTAACTTCTGGTATTTATTTCCTTTCTTGTTTTCCAGCAAGATATGCAAAACATTCTTCGAGTTTCTTTCAATCTTCAATGGAAATCAGAATTCCTTTTGACATCGGTACTACATTCACGCACATAGCAGTAGCGTGGTGTCAACCCGTGATTCGCCACAAGTCATTGCATCGCGCATTAATCATTCCTCGAGCATCGCGATTAGGAATGTGACGAATTTGCGTCGCGCGAACGCAACTGCAATGTTTCTAAACAAAATTACCATGTTTTACGCAACCGCGAGTTCGGTGTTCATGTTTAATTTCACAAGATCTCTCTAAATCACCGAAATGAAATTTGAATCAGCCTCGTCATTTGTACGAAATCGATTGGAATAATCGGCTCGATTTATCAAGCTTTGCGATAAATTTTAATTGAGTCGCAAGTAATGATCAGCACGCGGAAAAAAATGTTTCTATATTTTGTAGAAGACAGAAAATACTTTAATATATTCTTTGACACGAGTACAGTCTCTGTGCAAACGCTTCTGATAGCGAAAGTAGTTGATGTTATCGAACAGCTGTATAAACCTGGCACCCCGCGCTGTACAAGCTTTAGGCTTAGCTCCCGAGCGCGCTTTAACGCATACCGTAACTCTAATCGCGCGTACGCTAAAGAAACACGTTTTATCAACGCATGACAAGACACCGCGTCTGGGTGGAAGTATGCTCATGTTCTATTCGTATTCCAATCGCGAACGATACAGATTATTTGGAGGTAACGACAATTAATTTAAGTCGATTTAGTCGATTATTGCTCGCAATTAATGTACAAGACGCTCACGTGATTTGTGTGAATATTACTTACACATTCTTCTTATAAATACATATTTGCTAATTAAAACAGATAGGCATGCAAAGACGTTAAACTACTTTCAAAAATTAGAAATTTCATCGGTATCGTATGAATTTTTTTGCCACCATCTTAATTAATAAATTTCAAATATCTAAATTCGCTATTGATATCAGTTTTATTGATTATTCTCATTATTTTCTATTGTTTTTAGGCTGGTTGAAACACTCACCTCGTAAAACTCACTTCACTTGAACGAGAGCCCGCTTCGAGATTGTCTTCCAAGAAAATGCTTTCCGCAACTTAATACATAGGTAATCTTTCTTTTCTTTTTAAATACAATTTGAAAAAAAAAACAAACTCTTCAAAATAGTATATCAAACTAGCTTCGTCGTCCAGCGTTAGTAGACGATTAGTAGGCACGCCAAGAAGCCGCGTTGTTTCATTGTGGAGAAAGTCATCGCCGGCAACAATGACGGTGGCTGCCATCGTCGTCGCCACCGCCGCCGCAGTCGCCGTTGTCGTCGTCGTCGTCGTCTTCGTCATCGGCGCCGTGTACACTACGGCGCGAGAGAGGAGAGGAAGCAAAAAAAAAAAAGCGCCACTGGAGGAACAATTAATTCGTACGCGAAACACGTACGCGCGGACACGCATACGCAAACGAGCGTGCACGCTCGCCTCGATGGAACGCACCTACGCGCACACCTTCCATCCGGCTCGGAATATTCGGCTACCAAGCAGCGGCAGCGGCCTACGACCTATCCGCGCGCGGATATAAATACATGCGATATTTCTCTCGGCTGCGAATTTAATTGGAAAAGTTCGTCGATTGGTTTTCGCAATACGGGCGAATCTTCGCGAATGAAATGAATGAGGTAACGCGTCGCGCGGCCGTCGTAAAATCCGCTCGCGCGGACGGTTTTTCGGCATATTTTTAGGCTTTACGAGGCATCTCGCTTGCATCGTGAAATTTTTCTCTTTCTCTCTCTCTCTTTACACGATTGACGAGAAATAATAAAGATTAAGTGAAAACGATCGGTATAAATTACAATCGCAAATAACAGCACGAGTAGTACAACATAAACAGTATGAATAAAGATTACGCGGAAGCGGATATATTTAGGGATCAAAAACGAGGCGTCGTAAAATCGCCGCGATGACTTTTACGCCCTCACCTTTAATCATAGACATAAAATTTGATTTTCTCCTACAAACAACATCGCGATTAATGGAATATATAGTCATCATTAAATATTTTACTTCTAGAATCGTCATTTCCCACAGACCGGAACAATGTGCGACATTGACGAGCGAAGAAGAACGCGGGCTCGTGTAACAGAGCAGAGATCTCGGTAGAAATAGGCCGTGCAAATGAGGTGGACTCCGTAGAAGCAGCTTTACTAAACTGAAGCGGCCAGTCACATGCTAATTGCAGAACAAGCAGCTACAGTTTTGTAGGGCGCGACGTAAAAATCCACCGCGAGAGATCGACGAGAAAAGATGGCAGGTAAGCTTTCGTGCCGAATGAATGAAATCGGAAGCGAGGTACCGTTAAATTCGGAGACGCGATAATTACGAGAACACGTCGATTTCTTTGGAGATCGACGCCTCTCTCGCAGAAAATTTCGTCCTGGCCGACCGTTATTAGCGTACTAATAATTAAAAGACGGTAATTAACTCCAGTTAAAACTTAGGTGATAAACGACGCACCTGTAATATACCGCGGTCAACAAGTTACTTTACAGGCCGCTCATAACTGCGTGGTGAGCTCAATTAGCGGACCATCGATAGATCTTCTATGCCGATTCGACTGCGTCGTCTAATTGCACTTGGATGTTCTATGAACTCGCCATATTCAGGTGGAGTCGAGACGTTTTAACGTTTGCATAATTCGAATCGCGCAGAAAACATCGCGAAGGATATAGCGGTAAGTCCTTCGTGGAAATCCTTATCGAAGAAATCAGATCCCGATGCGTCTCAATTATCATTCGTCCATGAAAAATTGTCGCGAAGTACTCACGAAGTCACTTGACAAAGAGAGAGAGAGAGAGAGAGAGACGCGCGAGAGTCGCTTTAGAAGAAGTTTCGCATTTCTAGAGTTATCGAAGCGACGCCTCGCAACGCTCGCGTTAACGAAGTGGTCACCGACGACATCCCGATTACATAATTTTAATTAGTGTCGCCTCTTTATACCTTTTTCGAACACTGACAGTTACAATTGTACGGCCGCACCGCGATTCCAATTGCCACCTGGCGCGTTTAATTTATGCAGTGGGCGCACATTAAGTACGATCGAGCGCGATAAGTCAAATGCTGAACTCGAGCAAGACGCACCGGCGCAAGTGTGCTTATGTAACATTTTTATCGTCTTGCCGGAACCTTCAGAACAAGCCTCCTTACAATTTGTCGCCTCTTGTTAAAAAGAGATCGCGCAGGAAATTCTCGATCGATTCCTAAAATCGAAGAGTTGTCCTTGAAATTCGCAATCTCAAATCTTTCTATTCCATTTACGTAAAATCTACATACACACTGGCAAAAATTTGTTCTCAAATTAAGATCTTCGTGCATATGTACAATTTTGTCATATTTTCTACAATATTTTATGCAATGAATATCTACCGAAAAAAAAAGAATGCCAATCTTTTCGCGCGAGAGACTCACTATATCTCGCTATTAAAAAGATTTTTTTATCGCAGCGAGCCCGCGCTTTATCGCGATTGAGCATACGTAATCAAACGTCGCGTGATAACGTAATAACACTGTCGGCATGTTTATAAATCGGCACAAAGGCCTGATGGTCTTCGAGGTTGATTTGTCTGGTACGAAGAATGTATCAATTGAACGGTCAGTCTGAGAAAATAAATGAACGAGAATGGATTTAGCAGAAGCCGCATTTAGCGTTAAATGCGTCCCGAATACATTTTTCTCGAGAGAGAGAGAGAGAGAGAGACATATATTTTATGCAGAAGCAACACTTACCACGATTTAAAGCATTTGGTTTTAAGCTCCTTTTATCGTCGTAACAACACAAAAACTGCACAAACTTAATTGCACGAAAATCTTTAAATTAATTTATGAGTGTTTATTTATCCTCGTTTTTAGCACGTTTCGTTAGTAGTACGAGCTATTCGTAATTTAGAAATTCACAGCACGCTTACGCGAACCAAATTACGACGCGTAATTACATTCGTACCTCGGACATAGCGCGGAGATCAGTGCGACGACGCGGCGCCCGCGGATCGTTTTAACCAGGAAATCGTTCTCGCCTTACAGGATGCCGGTGCGTCAATATTGACACATTTCTTACGAAACGTGAGAGAGAACCGGGGTCTCGCCGGTCCTCTATCTTCGGCCACCATGAATAAATATCACATGGAAATTGCCGGAAAAAAAAAACCATACAGATTTACAGCAAACATTCTTCCCTGCTAATTTTTAGATAAAAATACGATTACAATTAAATCTATTTTTGTCAACCAGCGTCAAACAGCGATTGAATTACATTCAATTTTTTTCTTTTTTCTTTCAGATTGCTTGAAATTACTTACGACACATCGCAGTCTCTTGCATGACTCTATTGTTATGGTTGTCTACAATCTGCATTACGCGAATGCTCGTGAAACTTAAATAACGTCACCATTGCAACAATCGTGGAGGAGTGTTCTTCGGGAAACAGGAAATTGGTTCGGTGAACAAAAGATTTGTTGGGTAACGTACATGAAAAACAATTTTATATTGATTAAACGCGCGACAAGCCGCACAGCAGTATTGAAGGGGGTATCGATAAATATTACGATAAAATTTACATAACAGGTTTTCTAACATAAATTGAATATCAACACCTTGGAGGATCAAGCACACAAATTTGTGTTTCTGTGTAATCAATCATTTACGTTCTAGCGAAACGTCATGTCAAATGATTGAATTACATCATATAAATGAATCTTTGTCGAAGAAATTCCGCTGTACATTAATACGCCTTGTATATTTTCGAAGACCTAAATATTTCACATATGGCGAAACATGCCGGGAAGAAGTTGCGTGCGAAAAACACACCGGTCCACAAAGTGTTAATAAAACAATGTAACACCTTCGCGCGAGTAACGCGTTAATTAATTTATTAGTATTTAATAACAGGTATTAACCTGCTTCGCGCGGTGTTATCGACTTCCTGTCACAGAACTTTACGCCGATAACGTTTAATCGAGTAAAGCAAAATCGATATATCAGTATCGTCAATTCTTTATTTCTTCCTTCATACATTATTCTCTTAATCATGTAACAACAAGTGCCAGATAACAATTTCACAATATATGTATATCAGCAACTTAAACGCAAGCAGGAACATACGCCTGTGTATAAATAAACTCACGAGGAAACAATATATCATGTATTATAGATACTCTTAGCTTATCGAACGTTAAATCCCTCGAATTAAAATCCGCGATACGCGGTATCGCTCAAGTATCGGCCTGCGCGAGTTATGCAGGCCAACGGAAAGGAATTATCGGTGTCTACAGTTACATATGTGTCACGCGATGGATGGATCTTTTCCCTTTGGCCGGTTTTTTTTTTTTTGGCGTAAAACGAAGTTTTATTGAACAATTATCTATGCGCGCGTAATGCGAAAAGCTTTCTCAAAACGGCTAGGCTCGTTAAATAAAATTCGCTTATTGAGGCAATGGGGAAACTTCATTATATTTTCACTCTCAACTTCGTTTTACTCCTAACAATAAAATAAACCCTGTTAACAGCCCGTTATATATATTTTCCGCTTTACTATTACTTATACAATACAATATTACTCATATCAACCATTGTGATTTACCATTACCTTTGTTCAAAAAAAAAAATCACAGAACACATAAAGATACTTTCATACAGGCAAAAAAATAACATGCAAAACGAAGGAATATGATAAAAGATGCAACTTATGATGATCTTTTGAAGCCGTGGTATTTTACGTACCAAATATTATGAGGTAATAATTATTACTTATAACTTTGTGCATGACAATTAAGTAGAATTGTAAATACAGATTTGTGCAACCGAAATGTTATCAGCTAACATAATCAAAGTATACTATAAAAAATTAATGAATAATTAGAAACAGCCAATTTAATTTAAAGATAATTAACGCTAATGCAAGAAAATGTTAACGATATACCATAAATTATATAACAAACAACGTGAATTGTGTATACAAAAATATATTACACATTCTTTCAACATGCTTTATATTAGAAATGTTTAACTGTCGTTAAAATTACGTTCTATATTTTGCTATTGTTAACTACAGTCTTGATTTTCATATATAAAACTATTATTTTTAATAATTTTTAATTTAATAATGAAACATGTTGTACTATTTATCACTAATATTCATAGATGACTTTCTATTTGCAAAAGATTTTAGTGAAATTTTGTAACTATATTCCTAATATATTATTTTTTTAGCGTTACAAAATGAACAATTCGGTAAAATTACGTGGAGTAATTTGTGGCATAGGCATAAGCGTTCATCGTTTTAACTGTTAATTAGAAGCTAGTTATTTTCTTCTCAACTTTATTTTAAGATAATTGCACTATTTTATTAGATAATAAAAGTGGTGCTCGATTGTAAATTGTGAAAGAGAGAGGTGGAGAAGAGGAAGATTGTTAAAATTGCATTAGAAAAGTTGGAATAATATTAATTTCCATGGTAAACAAAATAACAACCTTAGATAACATATCATTAAAGCTGCTTCATCGTGAAATTTTTTATGCAGCAACGGACATATAAGAAAAATTTGTAATACAAGTCGAATAAGATTTGCACAGGAATATTAAGAAGAAAGTTGCACAAAGAAAGCAAGAATTTATATTCAAATGTGAACAATTATAGAAAAGATGTTGGCATCTAAATACAAGATATTGAACTATTGAAAGTCGTTAAATTAAACTAGAATAGTCAAGTCTTGATTTTTTTGATCTATAAAAAATTAGAATAGTCAAGTCTTGGTGTTTTACTCTATAAAAAATGATTCTCTTAAAACTAGGGAAATATGGGGAATGGTTCAAGATTTCAAAAAGAGCATAAGCTCTTCTACAAAATGTTGCAGGGACTGTTAAGATTGTACGCTACAGTCGCATTGTGGAATATAATCAAATATTCAGATTTAAGAATAGAATGCAGCATATTAAGCATATCCTGCATATATGTGTATATATATATATATATAGTTGGAATTTTATCTCTTTCTCCTATTATATACTATTTAAAATATAAAATTTCCTCAAAATGCTTATTTGATTATCTTGTATCTCAAGTAACTGTTTCGTTCGTCTCATCTAAAGTGTAATGGCCTAAATGTAAAAGTAGCCATACTATTCGCATGCTGTCATTTATATTGTCTATCATACGAGACGGATTCGGCGTGATAATAGTCGAATTAAACCTCGTATCGAATAGCAGATATGGCCGATCAAACTGTGAACTTTCGAACTTACGTAAGCTCTACTCAAGCATAAAACAGTCTATAAACAACTCTTGTATAACTCATGCTTAATACGCTAATCATGCAACTATTAGTCAAGTTATCACGTGAATTTGAACTAGTTTTAATATTTAGGCTTGTAGATATGAAATGTATCAAGAGAGCGCGCGTATCATGCAATCGCATAATTGTTATTTCATACGTATAATTCGATTCTAGATTTTAACGAAAGATTTTTCTTATTTTTGGTAATGTTTGTTCCTCATTGAAATGATAAGTCGAACGATAACGATAAATCGAAATGATAAATCGAACGATAATGTATGAAATCACTCTGTGCTTATGATATGCCATCTTATCATATGTTTCTACGAAAAACAATCGTAGTTATCGTTGTAAGCATTTGGCCAAATAGTCTCGTATTATCTAAAATTTCGATAAGGTATCTCTTTGCAATTTAGATATAAATCAACATTTCGTTTCGGCAATCTCTATTAACGATAATATGCTAGTAAAAAATTTATATAAACGCAGAATGAGAATTCCCTCGTCCCATTCTTTATCGCATTTCTCGTTATTCCCTGATAATTTTTTTCAGACAAAATGTTCTACGAAATATTAAAAGCTAAATATTCAAGCGATATTACGTGCCACAGCATTAGATCATACGCTGAAAAATAGTACCGTTTTATTAAGCCGCTCGATTTTTGAAAGACCATCTGTCGTCGAATATTGCTTTATGGTTTAGACTCGTTTATCGCGTTGTCGTTAAAACTCCCACGACGTATACGTCGCTGTCCAAGGTGCGATGACAGACCACGGTGGGAACTGTGCCAGGAATTTCTTAAATCTCAGAGATCTTTGGTGCTCGCCGTGTAAAAAGTGTCCAGCTAATGCGATGGACACACACGGTCCTTTCTGCACCGCTGATACCTAGATAGCGTAATTCAATAGACGATGTTGAAATTCATCAACGCGACGAAAGAAAATATAGTTCAGCACAAACTTACGTTCAATTCGATAGAAAATGTATATGGCACACAATCCGAGGCACATGCATAATAAATAAAGTAAGTTTCTCTGTCATTCCACTTTGGACCTTGTAACGGTTTCTCGTCGAGTATAGACCACTTTTCTAAATGAACACCTTTGTACGGGGACAGAATTATACCTACGTGGTCAGGCCCTAAAAGTCAAAAGATATAGCATCGATATCGCTCGAATGTAATTTGTTAATGCGTTACCTGTGACGTTGAAAGTGAAGCTAACGACGTTTTGTTTTGCAGCCTTTGAAATGAGCTCAAGATTTGTGGGAATAGTTATAAGCGGAGCAGGTCCAGGTATCCAACTCGTTTTCCTGCGGAAAGAGAATCAATTGCATTTGGCTTGGAACGGACGTGTGAATCAGATTGCGATATGTACCACAAGAAAGTTGTGACGGGCATCAAATACGGGAAGCCACAGTACAATTCTCTCTCGCAATCCTTGACCGTCGGCATCGTCGCGGCTACTTCAGACACTATCGATTCTACACTGTGAGGACTATTCATATCTAAATCCACTAACCAATATCCTGTACCGGAATATCTAACACTATTATCCGCATTGTAATACTGACGTTGGCTGTGCTGTAAATGAAAGACGCAACAATTTAGATTTATATTATTTTGTTTGAAGCAAGAAGTTTTCAAAAGATGATTATGTTACCGCGATCATAAATCGTTGTGGTGCGGGCGATGATGGATCGCCGCTGTAAGGAAATCCGAGTGGTGTTAAAATTAACACAGCGATAGCAATTAAGAAAATCCCAATAAACACGCTTATAATTCGTTCCGCATTCTTTATTAGAAGCACTATTGGCAACTGAAAATATATGAGGTGTGAGTTATACAGAGATTATTGTACGATATTAAGAGAAGTTTGCAGAGAAATAAGATTTCAAAAAATTGATTTAGTTACTTGAGAATATTAATATTTTACCGTGAAGCTAAGTAATTCGCAGAACAGTATTGATAGCATGATAGCCATTACAACTTCAGAATTAATGCTGCCACCGGATCGTCCCATGATTGGGATAAAGAGATAGAGAGCGCCAAGTGCTAAGTAAAACGACTGTATGTAAGACAAACTCAATGATCCCAAGTGATAACAAAGCCATTTCCAATCTAGAAAATTCATACGCGGTGTCAAAGATTAAAAGTTTCAAAATAATTGAAATAGAAGATTATACCAATGTAACATGTAAAAAAAGATTCACGCTACAAGTGTCCTTACCTCTCCATTTGCTAAAGAAATTGTGTCGCATAATATTCCCGACTGCCGGGAATAAAACCCAGTGTAGCGGTATGAAGCCCGATCGTATCTCAAATAAAACGCATACAGAGAGAATCAGCATCCATATTACAGCATACGCATCACAGTAGATTTGATACAAGACCCATGCAGAAGTAATTTCCTATAATTATCAATTGATGTTAATTTCGTGTTGCTTGCTACACTACAATCAATTTTCCAGCGGTTATTCGTTAACATCCAAGTCACAAACTAACGATTATTGACTGACATTGTCACAAGAGACCACTTACTTTTTTCTGCCTCGATCCGATCTGCAAAAACACTATCATCGACATAAAGGTAGTCGGACAGACGTACAAGAAAAACAACCATGCTGGTCTGGCGTACCAACTCATTACTTTTCCCAGTTTTGTCAGGATCAGAGCGATCATTGTGCAAGATACTATAGATGCCACCCACGAAATAACGATCACTCCAATGCACATTATCACATTTGTCATGTACGTTGACTTCTTAACATCTGCATTGAAAACGAAGTTCGAGTATATTCAGAGAAAATAAATACTGGTCGAAGTTTACTATCAGCTAAATCTAAATAATCAACATGTATTCTTACTTCTACGCGCACTCTGCATATTCAAATAGATAGAGTACCCAGATGTAATTATACTGGCGATATTGACCGTGCTGGCGATATACTGTGGCCATCTAATAACAATCGCGCCTAAAAAATCGAAGAACACGAGACTTCCCCGAGTTTCCTGCATACTCGCGTCCGATAGATAATCTTCGAATACTATCCCTTGTGTCAAAGCGAGGATATTATCACCGGTTCTCTGCAAGGCTCCCAGTGGTATCTGGTCGACATTATCGAACTTGGTGTGGTACACGTAACCATTTTTCGACCACGCAAAGTCAAGACCTGAAGTTTTACATATTCAGTAAGCTTCCTGTAAGGATCTTAAGCTGTATTCCGTGACTGACACAGATCTCTACGAACCTGAGACTTTTCCAAAATCCCTGAATATCCGAAAGTCCGTGTCACCAGGCACAATACCACTCTCGAATATTTCTTGAGCTAAGGACGATGCGTAGGGATATGGCACCGATTTGGCATAAACCTGTGATAAATGCAGCGATGTAAGAATACTGGCGCGAAGAACAAAGGAAGTGATATCGGAACAGGATAATGTGTACCTCGAGAATCCAAGGATTATGAGGCCCGGCTTGAAATAACAATTCTCGACCACCGGCGCCGCATGCCTCTAGATTTATAAATGTTCCAACTTCCTTTGCCCAGGGATGCTGCGTTATGAATCCATGAGATGCCTGTAAAGTACATTGCGAGTAGAATACATAGTGATTTCACAAGCGATATCATGTGATGTAAAATTAGCATACCTGCAATATATTTTCCTCTGCGCCATTAAACAAAAATATAATGCTATGCTTCAATATTTTTGGACTTTGTGTAATTATCCGTAGAATTTCTAGCATTACAGCACAGCCAGCACCATCGTCTGAACCACCTGAAGTTTTTCATTTAAATATTGATTATACATGCAGAAAGAAAGAGGTCTCACAAATGCCGTACAGTAAAATTTGCTTACCTGGACTTTCTAAAAATGAATCAAAATGGCAATTAAGCAATAAGCTGTGCATTGTAGGCCTGTGAGGTCCGACTTTTACAATGACATTTTGTACATTTCTGTAAACATTTGTCATGCCATCCAGAAACTTGAGTGGAAATGCACCACTGTGTCTTGTAATATTAAGCAGAATTTTATGATTTTCGTGTGCCGTTTTGATCACATTGTTGATCGTTGTCGTTAGAAATTTACTAGCTAATACTTCATTTTCATAGCTGCCAGCGATACGCGGCCCGATTGACGTGAGATTCACAACATGATTGCGGGCTCGCTCGGCTACGAATTTTCCTGGATACAGCCCCTCCGTATTGATGGTCACTGGCTCAGGCAGATTCCTTTCCAGTACGATTATAACGAAGGACACGAAGAGGAAAAACGTAAGAACGAAGAGGAGATGCTGGGTATCGTGTGGCAGTACATCCTGCTTCTTCGAAACAGCCTTGTTCTCGAAAGGTAACCCAGCTGACGTTCTTTTCGCCGTGTGCTGTCTTAATCTCACTCCGTCTTTCTGAAACTAAAGCATCGCTGTACAATCACCGAAAAACGATCTACGTAAGCCCTGCCGAAACTGCTGGCACAGCGCGCACGCATTCCGAGAAATAAAGTGGCAATAAAAAAAAAAGAAAGTACAACGAGCTTCCAACTCGTCGGACAGACTCACCATTTTACGTGCAAAAACATTAATGACAGAAAAGGCACTTTACAACACTGGCCACGCTATCGGATTCCGCGACCGAGTTATTTATTATATTACGGGAACACCACGACGTTACTCGGTCTCGTTCGCCGCATCAGGAAGCATATAGCGCGCGTAGCCCCGCATCAGGCACACACACAGCCCGCCGTAATCTTCGCGCCTTTCGTTTGCGCGACAGAAACGGGAACGACGTGGTGCGTCGAATATATATTTCTTCTCCCTCCCTGCCGTTCCCTCGTTCGCTATCTTCATCTGTCCGTCTCACCGTTAGCTGTTAATTCTCTTTCCCCTCCCTTCTCACCGCTTTATTGATTGCTATTCTTAGCTTTAGTTATCTTAAGTGTTAGGCTAATCTAAAATGTTTTGACAAAGTACTTAAACACTGAAATCAATTTTAATCTATTCCGTTTGCTCTATCTCTGTCCGTTCCTCGTTCGCGCCTTGGAAGCCGCGCGATCGATCAATCATCGCATTGAAATATTTACTCGCGTGAATATAAAGAATGTTGTTGTGAATTCGTTAGGGAATGTAATAAAAGTGCTTCTTAGAACTCATGCTAGTTTTTGCTATAACTTACAAGAATCACGATTTATCGTCGTATTTCCGTTAAGGCCTCGCTCGACATCGGCTTCGGCCGATATCGCGCATTATATTATCATTAATCAGGTTCATTTATGCGGTTACGACATTTAAACTACTTGCGAAACGCGCTCAAGATTGATGTTATGCTTATCATCCTACGCTCGAAATTTCATTCCGTTAAAAATAATGTTGAATATGAAGTACCCAGTAAACACAAAGTAACAGTAATGTAACATTAATGTTATAATTTCCCACTCAACAATATAATTATTACGCACAAGGCGTTATATTGCAGTTACATTGTTGAGTGGGAAATTATAACATTAACGTTATGTTACTGTTAGCTTGTGTTTACTGGGTATATTATTATTTGCGTTATTAGATGCACGTTTTTCAAGTCTCTAGTAGATAAGATTATATAAGGTGGAAACATTAAAATTGATGGAAAAAATTACAAATGTAAAACAGCACAAGTTAAAAAAGATTTATTACCCTATTGATATTCATTTAGTTATTAACAGTCAACTACGAATTTTTAGTTGTTTTCCTTATAGATAAATATGTGGAAAATTGTATATTACAACGTGAAAAAAAATAAGTGGATTGATAAAAGATAATTCGGCAATGAATTAGAAATAAGAAAAATTTGGATTCTGCTTTTCTTCCTCTTTTAAAGATATCTTTTAGAATACACTACCATGTTTTCTCCTTTTTTTTTTGCCAATAACTTGTTTCACTTTCCAAAAACTTTAAACAATCATGGACGATATTTTGTTAAATCTAATAATAAATTCGGTTGAACGCATCAGAGAGATTACATTTAACTAAACTCACTACAAACTACCAAACTCTTCTAACGCATCATCATCGTCGAGATTTGTATGTGTATGACAAGAAAAATAGCTTTGAACCAAGTTTATCGAGCAATGAGAAGTTCGACCAAATTTTATGCGCACGTTGCACGTGTCCAATGAACTCGTAGCTTCTTCAAAAAAGCTACATGTTTATTGGCTCTCACGCGTCCCGATTTGGACGTGCAGTTTCCACTCTTTAGTCTTTGTGTAGTTGCACTTTGCGCCTCTTGCAAAGTGCAACAGCATAGCATATTGTAGGCTTTGGAGAAAGAGAAACAGTGAAAGCAAAGTGCAGAAAGTGCGAGATAAGCATAACAGTTGTATGATTCTGTTTTGTCATCGATATTGAGTCTGTCCTTGTAATTATATCAAATTTTTCGTCTTGAAAATAGGTATGTGTTTGAGATTTAAAGACAAATAGAGAAAAGAAGTAATATAGAAAATTGTCTTTCAGATATATCGCTAGACGAAGTCCTACGTTGGTTAGAAATCGAACGACACGTTATATTGAGCAGAGGATACGGAGAAAACGTGTTGAACTGTCAGTGTTCAGAGCCCATTACAGATTATTTCCACTGTACGGCTAATTTACATATTTACACAAATCGATACAACGATCGACCTCCGTCAATTTGTGCCGCTTGTTGATGTTACTCGTGTCTGATTGAACAATGGATGACATGAGTGACAAATCGCAGAAACTTCAGTCAAATGAGGAAGTCATAGAGGAGCTCACCAAAAATTTGGAAGGTTCTTGTATCAAATTAGACAAAAATTTGACGGATGATGAAATTCGTTTCAAGCTAGACCTAACGGATGATTCATGGAATGTCACAGATAAAGAGCACAATGAGGATAACAATGGGGATGATAATGTAGAGAGTACAGATTTTGTCGAAGAAAATATAGAGGAAGAGCTCAAAGACAGAGACTTATTGCTTACGGAACCTGAAAAGGAGGTACATTTGCAGACACAATAATAATATATTTCTATATAATTGTTATGCTTGTCATAATGCTTTTGACATTTATTCTTACAGACACTGAAATGCGAAGCAGAGAATTTAAAACAAGCAGGCAACGATTTTTTTAAAAATAATGAATATACACAGGCAATATCGCAATATACACAAGGATTGCGAACTTGTCCCTTGGCGTACAGTAAAGAAAGATCTATATTGTATGCGAATAGAGCAGCAGCAAAAGCAAAATGTCAGGTAAGTAAGAATGCTAGGTAATTGGTATTTATCATGTTCACATCCGCTAGTCATTATTAAGAAATAATTATTTTTAGTCAGAGAAAGATTCAGCGATATCCGATTGTACAAAAGCCATCGAATTAAACCCCAGCTATGTGAAGGCTTATATAAGGAGAGCACAATTATATGAAGAGACAGATAAGTTAGACGAAGCTTTGGAAGACTTCAAGAAAGTATTGACGATCGATGCTAGTCACACAGAGGCTAATCATGCAATCAGGGTAATGTATATCCTAGTAAAAATAGAACGATATATAAGTTAAAAACGCAATTTGGTTGCAACAATTTGTAATATGTTAATTATTTCTTCCAGAGGTTGCCTCCGTTAATCAATGAAAGGAACGAAAAGTTAAAGACAGAAATGTTGGGTAAACTTAAAGACCTAGGAAATATGGTATTGAAGCCTTTCGGTCTTTCAACAAATAATTTCGAACTGCAGCAGAATCCTGCCGATGGTGGTTATTCCGTAAAGTTCAAACAGAACCCCTCGTAACAAGCTTATATGTTTCTTATTTTTCATAAAACTTAGACGTAAAATGTCATATATATACATATATATATTTACTTGTATATATATGTATGTATATAAGATACATATATATATATATACCCTAGCTAAAATAATATAACAAAATATAAATATTAATAAAATATTTGCGTGAAGTTGTCAAAATTACGCAACCGTGAACATCCTATTAGATTTTGCATCCTATAATATTTTTTTATTTAAATTCACTGAAGCAACGCACATTGCAAGTTACAATATTGAAGGCCTTCTTATATTTGGCACCAGATTAAATATAGTCTGTCTTTCAATAATACAGAACTGTATCACTACCGCTGTGTATAATTTTAGCCACAGTTCTTTATTTAGGGTTGAACGACTTTAACACCTGGGGTTAACGAACGTCCTCGGTCACAAATTACATGTCGCAGAGAACCATCAGTCGATATAAATAGATAAAATTTAGAGAAAAAGAGAGAAGAATGGAATTCACTCTAACTTAATACAGATTTAGAAATTTGCTTAAGAAGAAAAGTTTTGGCGCTAAAAACATTCAAGCGGTGTCGAAGACACGTCGATTACTTTGTTCTCAGACAGTATATAGAAAGTCATATTAAAAAATGATGAAATAAATATTAATATAATATCTTATTGCAATGAACGATTAAATGCATTGAAATCTTATAGAGTGACTTTTATCACGGACACCGAGAAGACAATATCACCAGTTCCATCCCCTCCTACCCCTCGTGCGTCGGGTGTAAGAAACGATTATGAATGCGCGGAGGGATGGGCCGATGACGTCCCTCGGTGCATAAGTGCGTGTATCGCGCGCAAGCGTCTGAAAGCGTCGGCAGTGCAGCAATGCATCGTCGATGGGGTTGGCGAGGGGGCGAAGAAACGCAAAAGCGAGTCGAAAGCGAGCACGTAGGCGTGCGAGAGGGCCGTGCGCGGCGCCGCGGGTCAAATTCGCGCGAGCTCTCGCGATTCCTCGCCGACAAACAGCATCGTAAATATCCGATTGCATATTATCGCTGTGCGTAAAAAGATACGACAGTTATTGTAATTGTAAACGATGAGGATATCAGATTACCGTGCAATAATTATTTTAAATGCGTTTTCAGGTATTGATAGAATAATTAAACCCGCATGGGGATACTTGATCGCGCGCGAGGGCGGCGATTGGCCGCCCACCCACCCCGGGGCGAGGGCGCCGTAACGGGTGCGTGGGTGGGAGAGAAACGCGGCGCCGCGACACCGTGTCGCGCGGTGGTCGAGGAGGGCGCGGGCGAGCTCTCTCGGCGCACGTCAGCGGGAGCGTGAAAGACGAGAGGGAGAGAGAGAGAG